CGTAACGTCGCCGTTTATCCCATGGTCAGCACGTAAGCTATCACATTGCCCTCCATGGATTAATAAGGAAACCCGGAAGCTGTTAAAGCGTAGAAAACATTTCTGGGACTTATTCTTGTTGACAGGTCATGCACCATTTAAGCGTGAGTACCAAAAATACCGTAATATCTGTAAGAAAACCATAGACAAATCTCGTACCACTTACGAACGACAGTTAGTATATGATAGCCGTACTTGTCCGAAACGATTGTTTTCGTATGTTAAACGGCAAATGAAACGTAGTGATAGTATTCCCCCGTTACTGTTACACGACAATTCAGAATTACTAGCTGAATCAGATCGAGCAAAAGCTGAGACTTTTTCAGACTACTTTAGCGAAGTCTTCTCTACGATTATTGTAACAAATACTTGTCCCACTCACACCGAGATACCAACCATCGAATCTGTACAGGTAACTGAGGAAACTGTCCTTCCGTTGATAACTAACCTCAAACCTGGTAAGATACCGGGCCCTGACGGGTTACATCCACGGTTGCTGTCATCTCTTGCGGACATTATTTCAAAACCGCTTGCGACACTCTTCAATATGTCCCTCTCACTCGCTCAACTCCCTAGAGATTGGAAGGACGCTATAGTTAGTCCTATATTTAAGGACGGTCAGCGACAGATAGCATCTAACTACCGGCCTGTCAGTCTAACTAGCATAGTCGTTAAGTTACTCGAAAAAATAATTCGGGTTAGGTTGCTAAGCCACATAGATTTACACAATCTGTTAGCTCCTGAGCAACACGGATTTCGTAACAAGCGTTCATGCGTGACTAACTTGCTTATTGCGAGGGAGGATTGGACAGCAGCCCTAGATAACGGTCTGTCTGTCGACGTGATATTCATAGATTTCAGCAAAGCATTTGACAAGGTTTCACACGTAGGTCTTATGCAGAAGCTCACGAGCTTCGGAATAATAGGTACTGTACATGAGTGGATAGGAAATTTCTTATGTGACCGCAGACAGAGAGTTAGAGTCAACGGAACGCTATCCGATTGGAAGCCGGTCAAAAGTGGTGTACCACAAGGCACCATCTTAGGCCCTCTGCTCTTCCTTCTCTACGTTAATGATTTACCGCTGTTACTTAGGTCGTCGACATTATTGTTTGCGGATGATGTAAAAATCTGGAGAACAATAAAAAGTGCGGCTGATCATGTGGATCTTCAAGCTGACTTAGACGATTTAGTTAGATGGGCTCGAGAGTGGGGCTTAGAAATCAATGCTAGGAAGAGTGTGCTAATGCACATCGGTCACGGTAATAGTTACCGTTACACTATTGAGGGTAAACCTCTTCCATGCGTTCAAGAGCATAAAGACTTAGGAGTAATATTAAGTCATGATTTAAAAACAACTAAGCATTGCAAAGCAGCCGCTGTCAAAGGTTTTCGTGCGTTATGGTCACTTCGCCGAGCGTTCAAATTTTTTGACGAGGAAATGTTTAGAATTTTATATCCCATATATGTTAGACCACATTTAGAGTACTGTATCCAAGCAGCTAGCCCGTGTCTGGTAAAGGATACTAACTCCCTTGAGCGTGTCCAGCGTGTGGGAACGAAATTAGTGAAGGGTCTTTCTAGACTCCCTTACGATGAGCGTTTAAAACGCCTAAATCTTTTCCCCTTGTCGTATCGTAGGACACGAGGTGACCTTATACTGGCATTTCGTATCTTTAATTATGATTTGGGTGTTAATATGTCTTATCTTTTTGCTCCCTCCAGCACTATTAATCTCCGAGGTCATAGCAAGAAGGTTCATAAACCACGATCTAATAAACTTAAAGTGGGATCCCGTTTTTCTCATCGAGTAGTCAATGATTGGAACGCCTTACCCGAACAAGTGGTATCAGCCCCATCACTGAATACTTTCAAGGAAAAGCTGGACCTTCACTGGAAAGCAATGTGTCAGGATTAACACAGGTTCATCAACCTACTATCCTTATTACTGAAGACTGAAGACAAGCATCGATACTGGAACAGTCGGTGAAATACAATGGCTCAATTACACACATGCGTGATCACATGCAGGTGCAGAAGTGTGGAGTAGGAGGAATTAGTGTGCATATGTGGTAGCCTGCTGGACATGTGTAATTGGGACGGGCATGCGTAGTGGTGGGTGTGTGTCGTTCAGCGTGTTGATCGACCAGCTGATTGATCAGACTGAGGAGTGGTGTTGAGTGCAATGGTGAAGTGTGATTGGGACGACGTGATCGAAGGGTTGTTGCGAAGTGATGCACATGGAGAGTGGTAATTTCAAAAGTGCCCATAGCACGAGGCCTCGCCGAGACTCGAACTCGGGTCGCTGGATTCAGAGTCCAGAGTGCTAACCGCTACACCACGAGGCCACGTTCGCGGCATAACAACACACACTACAACACACATTCACATCATACCTACATCATAACGACAATATATCAACTACAATACCTCACACAATTATCCATTCCACTACCACGATCCACAACTACAACAACAAAAACAACAACAACAACAACATCAACACTACAACACCTCACTTCCATATTCATCTCCATCCTGTCCTTCACATTCGTCATCATCTACATCAACACACATACGCACACACACACATAACAAATATCAATCACTCACTCTTCCTCACATCCACGTGCATGCGTGTGGAAACGACCGATTGTCGATTTTTGAACTGATTATTTCATTACTAAATGTCGTTTTTGAGTATCTTCTAAAAACTACCAACGATTTTCATGTCGATACATTGTTGAATATTTACCTTTAATATGTTTCTCCTGCAGACAAAATTCTTTCAATAGATACTGGTGAGTTAATATCATCGATAATATATTATATGCTCTGCCAAACCAGATTTACCTGATGTTTCTGACGTAAACGCTAGTGCTAATTGTGATACTGCCACACGAGTCATCAACTGGTGTCAAAGCAACAATAACTCAGTTCTCTGCAAATACGAAACTTATATCTCCTGTAGTGGCTTCTGCTGAGAGTTCTATTGACATCAAGTGTGAAACAAAGGGTCAGAAAGATGATTGTCTTCTGATGACGATAAGAAGTTTAATACAACTACATCTGTGTCCCCTTTAGTTGGGTTAGAGAAGGAGATACAACGTCTATTGCCAGACTTTAGGGATAGTAGAGTAGCTAAAGAAATGATTCATCGGAACATAGAATGGCGCCACAATACTCCCTACGGAAATCATCGTGGAGTATGGGAAAGATTAATAGGAAGCATACGTAGACTTTTGAGCGCAGTATCTACGTCCTACGAGACACCCACCACCTATTTGACTGAAGTAGAAAGAACACTTAATGATAGACCACTCTTACAGACGCGAGCAAAATGGATACAAAGAAGACGAGATTTACAAGTTGGCGATCTAGTCTTGATTATTGGAGACACTTATGCACGAAATAACTGGCCTAAAGGCCTAGTGGTAAATTTTGACCCAGGAGGAAATGGTCTGTTGAGACAAGCGAAGATCAGAACGTCGAAAGGTACAACTATTAGAGACATACGTAAAATTTGTTTATTAAAAGGAGCTGACGACCGAACAGTAGAGAATGGAGAGACCTTTCAGAGTGACTGTGGCTAGAGTAAATCGTACCATTGTCACCTCTGAATGTTTTTACGTTAATACGTAATCAGAGAAAGTAAGGAAATACATGCTGTATTTGAGGGGCGGTGTTAAGTTTGTCTTACATTGTTCCCGTTCTACTCTTTTGTATAGTCTTATACTACTTATTTACATTTATTAAGCAATTGTATTCCCAACAATTTTCACACTTATGTTGTAACGCAAGTTGTACTGTAATATTCAGAAATGTTCACATATACTTATAACGTTTATTGTACTTATCATTGTATTTATAATTATAATTACTGTATCTTAATCGCTGTAACCGTTATCCACAATTTTGTGCATTTGTTTAAACGCAACAGTTTCTATATTGTTTGCTCTTGGTTCGGTTGTTCGTAAACTGTTATCAAATTTAGACAGCTATCAGCCGCCCTTGGTACAATCGAAGCCCTTGTTATTTTCATTCTTGAAGGACGCGTTTAAACGCCTAGACACCTCACAAGTTCAGGTTTGTAACTAAATTTAGTGTATTATTTAATAAAGAAACGCTATTGTAGACAAGTAGTTGTTTTGGAAACTTCGGTAATGCGTGTATCTCAATCGGGTGACTTGGACGCTTCGATAGATCCAACACCGACAGTCAGACAAACAACTCAATCACCTACCGAATTCACGTCTTCCTGACACACACAACCAACCACTCACTCACTCACCAACACTATCACTCTCTCCAACTCACACGTCCACGAACACACCCACACCGACACATTGACATCGGTGAAGCATCCATCTATGTCATCCAACACAACAAGCTATCCAGGACAACATCAACATCTGACTCGACACACTGTGTCTAGGTGTGCCATTCGATCGTCTCACAGACACCACGACCACTATTCCGGTCAGACGAAACGGCTCGACAAACGTGCCGACTGAGAAGTAGTTGTGTGCACTGGTCGAGTGTGAGTGGTGTGATATGGTCGGAGGAATGCAGCTTGAAGTGTTTCACGTGGTGTTCAGTGGTAGTTTAAAGACACCTGATAGGACGAAGCTCCTCTGTCACTCGAACTCGGGTCAGAACACCTACAAAATCAACCCTACAACACTTAACTTCCATCTTCATCTTGTGCTTCATATTCGTCGTCACCTACGTCTAAAGGCACTCACAGGATTCGAAGAATATCTATTGGTGTATTTATTTGTGATATGCTTTTTTCGTTTCTTGTTTTAAAATGTATAAATTTAGTTTTGGTTTTCCTAAATGTTGGAATGTTGTTTTGTTTGTCTTATTTTGTTTTAGGTCTCATTTGATTGATTTAGTTTATCTTATTTTGTAATGTTTTCTATTAATTTTATTATCGGGATAACAGCATGCTCATATGTGTTCTTTTATTTATTCAAATATCGATCAATGATGTATTGAATAATGCATTACGTTCATAAGAAATATAATCCCTTTACAATAGTACATAATCATCATATACTTTAATAATATATTCACATAGAAACACATACATAAACATGGAAATGAAACAACAATATTGAATGGAAGGAAATAGGATCTTTTATGTATCACATTTGTTTGGTGATTTAGGAATGATGATATCTTTGCATTTTTCATATTCTTTGGAAATTGGTGTCTTTCTGTCATATTACGCAAACCAGTTGATGTTGGAATACAATAACAATTACAATTGTATTTATAGTAGAGCAAATGTTCATCATGTAGTAAGTGATGATATGAAAAGGAAGAAACAATCTTATAAGCGTATATTGGTAATTTATTATAAAGTAGTAGTATGAGTAGTTTTAGTAGCAGTATTAGTATTAGTACTAGTAATAGTAGTAATATGGAGAAAAGAAAATCGACAACTAAGATGAGAAATAGAGAAAGACACAGCCTTAATGATGGGTTTAGATTATGTAATGTGTTTAGGTGAATCAATAGAACAAACAAAAGCAACAACATATTGTATAATAAAATTTCCTAAATTTTAAGATGTTTGTGTACAAAACGAAAAAAGAAAACATAAAGAAAGTGAAAAGGTTAGAAAGACAATAGGTGCACAAGTTCGATTATGTGATTTCAATAGACCATGTAACATAAATATTCAAAGTTGTTTCTTAAATTTTCATTGGTTGGATAAGAGGTAGTGTAAATCTGTATAATAAGTATGATAATCATAATAATCAAGATGTAAATGGATATTATTATTATTATTATCTAGATGCAATAGTTTCAGGAAAGTCTTGAGCTAAAGATGCTTCTATAGCTAGTTCAAGAAGGAAGCCATCAAGTACTGGGATATCATTGAATGAATTTCGTAATGAATCAACATTTGAACTGTTATGTAAACTAAAAAATAAACATAGAATAGTGAAATTTATATCATAAATTATTAAAATATCAAATACAAACTAATAGATAATGTAGTTATTTTATTATCATTATCGTCATTAGTAACTCTTCTAAACACAAAGAATTGAAATCATGCACCGGTCAATGTTAGGCCACGGTTGGAAACCTGGGAGCACTAGTCAGCCATCTCGTCCAAGTATGGGACTGCTCAGCAGTGCGTATCCACGATACCATACACGGGACTAAAACCCAACAACTTCAGACTCGTGCGCGAATGCTTAACACCTAGACCACTGAGCCGGTGTCTGACAGAGTCAGTTCTTAAATCTAAACAATCCACGACATAGCGCGACCAACTTTCGTTGTCTTCAGTGCGTAAGTGCCTCATAACAGACAGTCAGTCAGTAGCAAAGTAGGACTTCATACGTACGTACATCAGTTCGAGTTGTCATACAACATTAGGACACAGACGCAAATGTCAATTCAAATCCCGTAGTTGTAGAGGTAGTAAGAGTATAGTCAGTCAGTTAGCTACAACGTAGGACCAGGCACATGTGTGCATCGGTCCAGGTTGCCATACCGCATCAACACAACAAGATGAACACCAGATTCATAACAGTGGTTAGGTAAAAGGTGGTAATATATAAGAGAAAGATTGCATATAGAGATATAGTACAAGAAGAAAGAATTGGTTCGTAGAAAGAAAGATATGAAGCGATTTTAATCTCATAGTTTAAGTGAAGACAGGGAGTGTATACACCGACGCCATTGTGATCGATTCTGAGCCATGTCACCAAGAGTCTCCAACCATTGGTTACGATAGTCACGCGGACCCCAACCAAGTAGTCTGCATCTACCAACATGGCTCAGACTAGAGGTTAGTGACTTCAAGCACTGATGCCACGTTTTGGTTTGGCCGCCCCTAACTTTCTTCCAACCATTTCCAATACCGGATAGCATTGCACGTCGTGGTAATCGGTGTTCAGGCATACGTAACACGTGGCCCAACCATCTCAGTCGATGAAGATTCATAACCTCATCAACTGATTTACCATCCTTTCCTAATACCCTGCATCTAACCTCACTATTACTTACCCGGTTATCCCAGCAGACGCCAGCAATATTTCTTAGGCATCTGTGGTCAAATACTAATAGCTTACGAGTGTCTTCTACTCTTAATGGCCATGCTTCGCTACCGTAAATTAAAACAGAACGGACTGCCGCGCAGTATACTCGTCCTTTTATTGATAGACGGATATCTCGCCTTCGCCACAGGTGACGTAAGTTGGCAAAAGCCAAACGAGCTTTTCGAATCCGTGCTGAGATTTCGTCCAATACCAACCCATTAGGGCTGATCAGACTTCCAAGATAAGTGAAGTTGTCAACGCGTTCGACTACTTCACTCCCTATCCTTAGTTCAGGTGTTAACGCAGACCAGTCCTGAAGCAACAACTTGCATTTAGAGGGAGAGAAGCGCATTCCAAACATCCTGGCATTGTTGCTCAGTGCTACCAGAAGACTCTGCATTTTGTCAGCGTCTTCACCAAACAGGACTATGTCATCTGCGTATTCTAAGTCGATTAGTGGACCTCCTGGAAGGAGATCAATACCCGAGAACTTAGTCGACGAGAAAGTTATTTCCATCAGTAGATCTATGATGAAGTTAAACAAAAATGGAGAAAGTGGACATCCTTGACGGACACCACTTGAGGTTGCAAAACTAGATGACAGTTCGCCATAAGCTCTCACTCGACTAGTAGTGTTCGAGTAAAGAGCCTTTACAAGGTTTATGTACTTCTGGGGTACGCCTTTCAATGACAGACACTGCCACAGAATCTCGCGGTCTACAGAGTCAAATGCTGCTTTTAAGTCAAGAAAGACCACCATTGTCGGACGTCGATAAGTATGCCTGTGTTCTAGAACCTGACGAATGGTGAATATGTGGTCGATGCAGACACGACCAGGTCTGAAGCCAGCTTGATTTTCTCGTGTTTGCAGTTCACGACTCTTAGTTAGGCGTCTGATTATTATTGAGGCTAGTATTTTAGATATTATATTAGTTAAACTAATCCCTCTGTGGTTGTCACAGGATGATTTTGACCCTTTCTTATATATTGGGACGATAAGTGATTGTGACCAGTCAGATGGAATAACGTCTAACTCCCAGATCTTAGCTAAAATATTAGTCAACCTAATCGCTAAAATTGAACCACCATCCTTAAAGACTTCTGGAACCAATCCATCTGGACCAGCAGCCCTTCCTCGTTTCAGATTATCTATAGCCTTATGAACTTCAGCAAGAGTTGGGGGACCTACTTCAATGTTCCATTCACGCTGTCTGGGAATGGAGGGTAGTTGTAGAGTAGCTGAAGGCCAGCTGAACTGTTCTCTGAAATGTTCAGCCCATCGTTCTAAACGCCTGGACTGGGAGCAGATGAGTGTATCGTCTTTTTCTGATATAATCTCACTTACACTTGACTTATTAATTCCAGTTTCTTTTATTAGTCTGTAAAGCTGTCTTGTGTTCCCTATAGTCGCCGCCTTTTCCATCTCTTTTGCTTTCGTTGCCCACCACTGCTCACGGTCGTTTCTTAGACTTTTTCTTAACCTAGATCTGATTTGTTGTCGCTCTTCATCATGTTCGGAACCTGATGGGACGAGTTTGCGAGAATCCATCAGTGTGATAGACTTTGAAGAAATCCACTGGTCCTTTGAAACTCTGTGGTTTAAGTTGCTAATAGATGTCACTGCTGCTTCCACAGCTGCTTGTATGTCTTTCCAAGCAACATCTGGGTCAGCCTCGTCTTCAGAATTACCTAAGTGTGAACTCAGTTGTTCTTGGAACCTATTTTTGGTTTTCTCGTTACTCAATTCAGTTCTAATTGGTCTTTTCAATGTGGCTTTTTTGCGTCCGGTGAGGCGCAAGCAGATGCGTGCCCGTATTAGGGCGTGGTCGGAGTCCAAGCAGGTACTCCAGAATGAGCGACAATCTTCTACCGACCCTCTCCAACGATGACTGATGGCAATATGGTCTATTTGAGTCCATCGTTGGTTTGGTGTAGGGGGTCGCCATGTTAGACGATGTCTCTCCTTATGCTTAAAATTTGTGTTTGCTAAAAATAAGCGATTGTCTGAGCACAGTTGCAGCAGACGATCACCATTATCTGTTCGCTGTGCCGGAATGCTAAAATATCCACCTAAATGCCTTTCTGTTTGGTTTAAGCTACCTATCTGGGCATTAAAGTCACCCCCTACGAGTACTATGTCTGAGCGTTTAGCTATCTGAAGAAGTTCAGAAAGCTTTCTGTAAAATTCATCCTTCACTTCATCTGATCTGCAGTCAGTGGGAGCGTAGGCAGAAACGACAAAAAGGAAACGACGTTTGTCCCTATCCTTCCGAGTTCTTACGGAGCCGTTTAGCCGAACAGCACATAGACGACTGTTGATGGGGATCCACTCTAGCAGTGCTTGTTCCGCCCTCATGCTTAGTGATATGCCTACACCTGCCAGTCCACGAGAACTGGCCATCGGGTCACCAGATACACGTAGGGTGTATCTCGTTGGCTCTCCGTTTTGCCGAGGTGAGGTCAAGTGAATGACCACACTGGAATCCTGTATGCGTGTTTCGGAGACACAGCATACATCAATGGAAAGAGACTCTAGGGTTTTAGCCAAGGAAGCCTGCTGACCGATTTGACATAGAGTGCGTACGTTGAAAGCTCCAATGTGTAGTTTGGAGCGAGGTTTCAGTAGACCTGGGACAGAGTTTTGAGCACTAGAATCGTTGGCTATGGTGACACTTGAGGAAGAAGCCGAAGGAGGAAGTTTAGGGTTGAAAGTCGATGTAGGAGGAATAATAGGAATTGAAGAGGAAGGTTGATTATGAATACAGTGGTCTTGGGTGCTGTTAGAAGTATGAGGGCGGTTATCACTTCCCGGGTGCCCACACCGTGGAAGGGTTCTTCTGGAGGTACCTGAAAAGGAAATTGGATTAGAAGCGGTCTCAGCGACCTGAGAGCGTGACCGCAGTGCCCAAGGGACAACTGCTTGGGGCCGGTCGCGCACGGCCTTTTTGTGGAAGGTTTTTGACGTGTTAGCTCCGTTCTTCAAAGAGCCTTACCACCGGAGACGGAAATCCGTGAGGTAAGGCGAGGTGTGCATTTTTAGGGTCGACCTTTTTTACACCCACCCCTCCTTGTGGGAAGGCAGCATCGCTGTCATGCTGGTTGTCTGAAGGAAACACCTTACTGCTGTCACACCTCTGTACAGTCAGCAGTACGACTTCGCCTTCGGACCTTAGGTTTGTTGCTTTTAGTCTTACCGCTCTTCAACCGACCTGTCTGACATGGTAGGACCTTGAGGAACGATTGTTCCAGCCAGTATAGCTCGGTTGCTTCATCACGATAGGCAAGCCCGACCACCACGTCAAGGTAGCAACAACGGTCGGGAGTAAGAGTATAAGCAGTAAGCAAAAAAAAAAACCTAATACGCAATCTAGTTCTGAGAGATAGTTCTTGGAGATATGGTGAGAAGCCGTGACCAGTGCAATTCAACCGTGTCTGTTATGTTTTATTTCACTAGATTATACTCCTTGAATAACATCTTCAAACGTTAGTCTTTCCGATTACTGCTTAGTAAGAGTATAAGCAGTAATCGGAAAGACTAACGTTTGAAGATGTTATTCAAGGAGTATAATCTAGTGAAATAAAACATAACAGACACGGTTGAATTGCACTGGTCACGGCTTCTCACCATATCTCCAAGAACTATCTCTCAGAACTAGATTGCGTATTAGGTTTTTTTTAGTCATGGAAAGTATAAAATCCATACAAAGTTTTTTTCAATACAAAGATTAAGTTATATGAACTTGCCTTTTTATGATGTCTACTTGGTGTCAGAGATGAGTTCGACGAATATCAAAATAAACTTCACAAGGAACATAAAGATGTATATACGCTTTTTTATTCAATGTTAAAATTCGTTATCAACAAGCGTTAAGAAGTAGCTTTCTAAATTCAACCCCTCAGTTTTCTGATTTCTACGATAGAATTCTTTTTCAGAATAGGGTTGTGGAGGTTGTTGTACAAACAGACTACGCATATGACCTCGCCCTACTATCCCATACACATGGACAAGTGCAGGTGACGACAACTAATGTAGCAGCAGCCTCTGTATCAGCAGACCTCAACATACATAAAGAAAAAAGCAAGATCCTCAAGTAAAACACAGAGAAAACCTCCTCAATCAGATTTAATGAGGAGACTCTGTAAGATGTGGAATCCTTCGTGTACCTGGGAAGCACCATCGATGAATACGTAAAGGTCAGGAACGAGAAAGTAAGGACAGAATTCCTAGAGTTGAAGAACATATGAAACTCGACACAACTGTCAACCAAAATCAAAGTCACAATATTCAATACGAACGTCAGAACCGTCCTACTGTACGGATCTGAATCTTGGAGAACAACTACAACCATAATAAAAAAGTACAAGTATTTATGTCCGTTGACCGGATATCACCAGTCACACCCTATTATGGGAAAGAACAAACCAACTTCCATTTGAAGAGGAAAAAGACGTTGGATGTGGATAGGACATACATTGAGGAAGTCACCAAACTGCATCATGAAGCAAGCGCTAACTTGAAATCCTGAGGGGAAAACTGAAGAACATATTGCGTCGAGGAATTATAAGCAGACTTAAAAAGGATTAATAGCATCTGGAAAGAATTGTCCAGGACAGGGATGGATAGAGAATGCTGGTCGGCAGTCTATGCTCCTCCATGACAGTAAGTAATATATTAGAGTAAGACTCGAAAAATATCTTATTAAAAGCAAATAATATTCATTTGTATATCTTTTTTTTACATTTACACAGTAAAAAGCAAACTAAAATTATGTCAAATTGAGTTTACCTTTCAAAGAATGGTTTCAGTGTATAAATGTTGACAAGTTTATCTAAAGCCAAAATACTGAAACAACTTTGATATAAAGTAGATGAATTTTCCATCGATGTCACATCAATACCATTCGATATGTCAACTTCTTGTAATTTCTATAGTATATGAAATGTTTCACACACACACACACAAGAAAAGTACAAAAATGCAAATGAACATCGAAAACATAAAACCTAAAAGAAACCCAGATATTTAAAGCAATCAATCCATTTGATAAATTCCGATAGTGTAATAAGATGAAAATTATTAGAACTATGTGATATACCTTTTGTTGAGTCGGCTTCCGAGAACTACAATGGAGCCTCCAGAGACCCTAAAGGAGCCGAAGAGTTTCAATCCAATTAAAACATGATGGCTAGTACCATAATATGTCTCTTTACGGATTGGCCAAATTAAAATGTTGATTTAACAGATGTTAATATCCATAAATACCCTTGATTTTCTGTACATTTTGATTCTTATCAAATAAACACTTCTTCAGCTTTTCTTCTGTCTTCTGATTTGCAACGGTGAAGTTTCAACGTTTGAGTATCGTAGTCATAACCGTATTCTACATTAGTCAAGTAGCGAACTTAACTTGGCTTTTGTGGTGTTGTACAAAAGGGGCGTATATTAAGGTTTATTGAAGCCTTAGTCATACGAAAATTCAGACCTCCTCTGCGTACTTAAAAACAGTTTGTTCTCACTGTAAACCTATTTTAATATTAGCCTATTATCCAGAAGTGATTAGGTTTAAAACTGTTTTCGCATTATTTCTTTATTATCCTTGTCTCATTTGTAGTCAAGTTGACCTTTTATTTTACATATAAATGATCTTAACAAGTATATAATGTGTAATCAGATTGTTCGCAATGTATTCCGCTAATATATATCATCACATAGTCCTGGTCCTGATCATCATCTTATTCTTACACAATCGAAACAAGATATTGCTGATAAGTTTTAAAATCATGATTATTAGTACAGACGGATACACTCTTTCATTCTTACTTACATTGGGATATACGATTAAATATTCATTATGACATGAGAGTGAGATTCAGTCATATATACATTGTTTCCTAACGCTTGACCCAATCAGTTATGTGACTAGAATGCATAGGAAGCTTTAATTTTGAAACCAAATAGTTCTGTGCATAAATCATAAATGATGGTGACCTTGGTTAGATGATTGATTCGCTGAATTACAATAGCATATCTACTCCTCTTGTATTCGTCACTTATCATTGGGATAGTATGTAATTATTCTGACTTTTGAGCAAAATTATACTCCTATAGATTCGTTCACTCTAACAATACTATTACTATTAAGAAACGAAGTTTGGGAACACTTATTTTTGTTATGAACTGACTTTATTTGGATAATCACTTAAAATGACAGTTCAGTAAATAGATGTTTCATGTTACATAAAGATTCCTTCTTAGTGTGTACCGATGATACTATCAACGAGCGAACCTACGAAAACTTGTATATCAGGCTTTAAAAAAAAATAAAAACAGTTTTATTTACAAACAAATTATACTTGCACTTGGTATTGTTTACTTGAATCTTCCTATTAATGTTTAGCACTGCAATTGATCTCTCTCTTATTGGCATAAGCGCATACTGTGCGTATTGCGTCAATTCACAAGCATTATAAGCAAAGATGGATAGTGGCTAGCAAGGAATCCAGGACGCGGGTTTCCACCTATTTGGGACTTGTCAAGTGGATGTACCTGCATCTGAGTTGATGTTCACTCCGAGACTCGAACCCAGTACTGTTCGTTCTAAACGCTATCGCGTTATCCACATCCACATGATAAGTTCCAAATAAGATGAAATGCGCGTTCTGATTTCCCTGATAGCTACCATCCATCTTCGCTTATAAATTGTACTTGTGTTTCAAATAACTGACGCTTACCACAACACTTTCAATTACAAATGATAATGTAGCGATTTTAATAAAACTTACTTCAATTTGTGTTAGAACATCGGAAAGGAACGGAAGAAACGATATTCTTCGATTGTTATTCACTGTGGCGACATTTGTCATTTCTTCTTGGTTAGTTAAATTATCAAAAGTTATATCTTTGACAAATGCCCATTGATAACTGAGATTTAAGAGAGAAGATCAAGTAAACAGAACTTCGTAACACTAAAAGGGTGATTTCATTATTATATATAGGGAGAGAAAGGCCGCTACAGAGAGTTCCAATAAGGGCTTAGAGCTGACCAATGGTCAATCTAATTGACTAATATGGGAAAACTGTTCTCATGTTTTTCAGAGCAATTTTATTTTTATCAAAATAGTCATAGTCCTCCATAATCATTTTTAAGGTTAAAGAAATTTCCACAGCAAATGGATAGTGTCTTTAAGATGAGGATAATGATGATGATGTGTATTGATGTATGCCAATAATGAGTGTTTCACAAAATAAGATGGACATATTAAAATGTTCAAACGTGTAATATTATCAACATTATATGATATTACTTAAAATGTATAGGCTATTAAATTCACAGTACAATGTGTACTATGCCCAGGGATGATTACATGTATCACCGGTAAAAAAAACTGTTATATTCCTGATGTGAATAATGGATGGTAACTTTTGGGATCCATTTATGGACTAATACTATACGTATATTTTTATTGTATAATTGTTAAGTAAGAAATCTATGCATAGTCGTGTTCCTCTTATCATAAGCTTTATTTTGACCTATGAACTGTTATTATACGATTTACATTTGTTGAGTTATGGCCTGTCTATTAAATACTATCTCTGTCATTCACAGCCGCATTTTGCTAATTCTTGTACAAATGTTGTTTCCTATTTTATAATACGATATGGTCTGGTTGGTATATAAACCCAGTATGTTTGAAATACATGATTCACATCGCAGAGGCTGAAATTTGTGTTCTGGACTTAACAGACAATGCAAAGCGGGAAGCAGGACCGATAGAGACTCTAGACTGCTCGTATGGATTTTATGTGTCATTGGTCTGGTCAATAAGTCACTGTTCTCTAATTGGTGGTATCATTACGTTATACATTAATACGACTGTTGTGCTATGGCTTCCGGTATCAATGGATTGAATCCCACAATTCACTAAAGCATTATCATTTTTGTAGAAATTTTAGGAATCATATTCGTTAAATATACATTATTGCTTACTAGGAAAATTGTGGCAGTCTATATTCTGGATATAATAAACTGGTAGCCAACAATTTACATGCACTAATATACAAATTCATTTGTGAAGTAGACAGAAATGATGATGATGACGACGTAGAGGCATCAGGTTTGGCTTTCCTTGATTGAATTTTAGAAACGCTAAAAGTGTAGAAAAAAGAGACAGAACTTGGTAACGAATGACAATTTCAAATTATCACGATAACATTGAAAAAACATGTCCAGGATGATAAGGAACAACTAGACTGAAAATTAATACGTCCCTTGTAACTATGATAATGGTTACTCTGGTTCAAATGTGAAGAAGCGAACTAGCAAATCAAGGGTAAAATTCCTACAGTTAAAAATATACGGAACTTGAGACAACTGTCAGTCGACATCAAAGTCGAAATTTTGATTACAAACGTTAAGACAGGGTTGAAAGTTGGGAAAGTACTACAACTACCGTCAAAAATGTATATGTATTTATAAATAGTTGGTCTACGCACAATACTCGTTGTCCGTTGACTGAACACCATCAGCAACAACCTACTGTGGCAGAGAACAAGTCAGCTTCCAGCAGAAGAGGAAATTAAGAAAAGATGCAAGAGGTGGATAGGACATTTGAGAGGGACAGATATAAGTTACTCTTTAAATATCTGAATCGTTCAATGAATGATATAATAAATGACCATTAGCTATGAAATGTGCACATATGTTTCAATTAGAAAGTTCATTTCATGCTAAAGAAGAAATTCACAGGAAAAGAACTCACCATTCTTGAATTGCCTGAGATAGGGATTTGAATGTGAGGAACTATATAATAGATTAAAGAAAATAATTTATAATATAAAAGAGAACATTATAACAATTGAAAAGTGATTAAAGTGAGAGAAATCAGTGATTATTGCCTAATTCCTAAGAAAATATTTTGTCGGGCCTCTTAAAATGTGAACATAAGATGGTCTACTTAACATAATGAATAATTTTAATAGTTGAGATTATAAATCAATTGAACCTAGACCACCATGTAAAATCTGGAAGTACTGGACAGCTGTTTTGTCCTACTGCGGAACTCCTCCACAAAAAACCCCTTCTGATAATAAATAATGTTGAGAATATTCAATATGAAAGTTGTATGATACATACAACATCGCTGAGTAATTCGAATAAAAACGTATGAAATACAAGTCACCTTGTAATTTAGTCGCCTGATCAACACGTAAGTGGGAACATAGTATTATACAAATAAAGGTAACGTTTAGCATTCGACTCGATGTAGACACATTAATTACGGGTATGAAGTACTTCCCTTAGGTAGTTTGAATATCATAATCAAAATTATTTTATAACAATTGTCATCAAAATATCAGTGAAGATTTAAATTTGTAAGTAGCTGATTAGGTTCTTTAAAGATATCTATCTACCTATACTAAACAAATCATGTATAAATGTGCGCCAAATATAGGTTCTGATTAAGTCAGTAAGCTACAACATAGGACCAGACACATATATGCATCGATCCAAGTTGGTACACCTCATTAGCACAATAAGATGAACACAAAATTCATGAAAGTAGTTATTTCAATGATAGTAATATATAAAAGAAAGATTGCATATAGTACAGGAAGAAAGATATAAAGAAGTGTCAGTCTCACAATTTAAGGTAAGACAGTGAGTGTATACACTTACGCCATTGTGATCGATTCTGAGCCATGTCACCCACAGTCTCCAGCCATGGGTTAAGATAGTCACGTGGACCCCAAACAAGTAGTCTGCATCTACCAACATGGCGCAGACTAGAAGTTAGTGACTTCAAGCACTGATGCCACGTTTTGGCTTGGCAACGCCTAACTTTCTTCTAACCATTTCCAACACTAGTCAGCATTGCGCGTCGTGGTAATCGGTGTTCAGGCATACACAACACATGGACCAACCATCTCAGTCGATGAAGATTTACAACCTCATCAATCGATTTACTATCCTTCCCTAATACCCTGCTCCTAGCCTCACTAATACCTACCAGCAGATACGAGCAATATTTCTAAGACATCTGTGATCAAATACCAGTAACTTAAGAGTATCTCCTAGTCTTAATGGCCACGTTTTGCAGCCGTAAAGTAAAACAGAACGAACTGGTTCACAGTATATTCGTTCTTTAATTGATAGACGGATATCTCGCCTTCGCCATAGGTGATGTTCTGATTAAACTGTGTAATCAGTTCTTAATTTGTTATAAATTTTAAAGTCATATTTTGGCTACTGAAATTTACAATCGTACAGAAAGATACAACTAACTAAAAAAACAAAGATACATTTCACATGAGAAGAAAACAAGACAAAATATTTATGAGGAATCTGTCACCTTAGCTAAGTATGAAAAAATAACAATAACGATAGATGATCATAGGCAACAGGTATACAGATATACATTCAAACATCATTAACTGACAAGAATCAAGAAGTTCAAGAAGTTAGATTCATTCATGAAAACGAAAACATTTAGGCAGAAAAACAAAAGCAAATTTACTAAACTAACCAATTCTGGTACAACTATAGGCCATAAAGAATTCAATTGTATGGCTGACATACGAGATATTAAGACACGAGCAAATAAAAACACTTGAGTATGAACCACTGGAATTATACCTTGACCTAAACGTAGACATTCAGCAAGACGTTCTGTAGGAAAAGAAGGAAATAGTAGAACGATCAGACAAACAATAGAAAATTCAAAAAAGAAAAAGAATTATCTAGTTGATACAATGAATAATGTAGCAGTGACCTTTGACGGGGTTCCCATACAAATTATCATTGGAAGACAGAAGTATTGAGGACGCCAAGTAGATTTTTCTGACCATTCATTATTTAACAAAACTGTAGTCAGATTTCTTTTTAAAGAAACAATGAAATGTGAACTTTATCTGCAATAAAATAACTGTTCATATTCCAGACAGTAATTTACACCACACAATTGACTAATTTATCATTGATGACTATTATGTAACATTAAATATAACAATATCAGAATTGGTTTTGTGGATATTATAGTAACTTTAGTAGTTGAAATTATGTGTCAATTGAAGCTAGACCACCATGGAAAAACTGGAAGCTGTGGACGGTCATTTCGTCCTACTGTGGGACTCCTCAGCAGTGCGCATTCAAGATCCCGCCTTGCAAGATTCGAACCCAGGACCTACGAGCGGTGGATGTGTCGCTCAATTTCGTGGAGTAGTTGGAGTTAGACATTAACAACATTGGATGCCGGCCGGTTCAGTGATTTAGAGGTTAAGCATTTGCGCGCGAGACCGATAGATTCTGGGTTCGAATGTCGTGAAGCGGGATCGTGGATGTGCACCGCTGAGGAGTCCCAAAGTAGAATGAAACGGTCGTCCAATGCTTCTAGTTTTTCCATAGTGGTCTAGCTTCAATTGACTCATGATTTCAACTATTAAAATATAACAATCCAATGACTAAATTGTCATGTTCAATATGAATACACAAACAGATGATGGTCTATTAATCCTATAAGTTTCAAAAAGATTGAAATGGATATCTTGCATTGTACTAGTGATTATGAATACTTAATCACAGTGTTCACATTTCAAAAGTAAAAAAAACTCGATTTATTTCCCAAAAGCTGTATTCATATGGAATAGTTAACGTGATCAGAAAGTTTGTTAGTTCGTTTGTATGCATTATGGGCAGTACGAATAATTCGTTGAGTGTAATTTTCATAACTCCGCCTGTAGCGCTTTTAGAGTTACTGCCGATCTCAAGACCGAGAAAAGCAGGAGAGTTGAGTATGGGGTCGATAACCCCATGCCGTAAAAACAAATCTTGCTAAAACGGAATTTTTCATGCTTATGGATAATATAAACTGAACATCAGACCGACTTGCAGAATAAAGGTCAAAAGGTCAAGGACACAACAAGCATGATTAAAGATAAGGGTGTGATTTTTGCTAAAATAATTAAATGAAGAGAAACGTGAACTAATTTGATAGTTGTAATTTTGATAGTGTAATAATAGTAATAGAATGAATGATATAAGTAGAAAATATTCTGACATAGAGGATGAAGTTTAGTTAGTTGTTAACGGTTACCTTACTAACTAGCTAGTTAACACAAGTATTAACAGCCGAAGGAAATGAATGAAAAACACTGATAAATCATTTTGACAACGATACACATACCTAATAAATCAGGCATTGCTTTCGCATATTGATCCGGTTCACTTGCATAAACTAGATAAGATAATTTTTTCAAACAGGCAGCACGTAGATCATATTCACTCTCTTTACTAGTAAATAAATTTAAACCACCCGGTTGAGCGAATACAAGACGAGCTGGAAAGAAATTCGAAAAAATGGATACTATATCCTTCATCGACTTGCTATTTTCAGTTATAAAATAAATATTTAGTGAAGTAAGGATCAGTGAATGAATTTAGCACTAAAATACAAGATCTATTACCTAAAATCGAACTGGTTCGTCCATAAGTTATAACTTTTTACTTGATAGACAAAAAAATAGGTTCACTGCTAAGTGGCTAGATGTCGTCGACGAAAAATCCCTGGACAGTTCTCGTGCTATTTAAAATGCATCAGTGAGGTATACTATCAATCTTGAAGTAACTGGTGTCTCTCGGGAGATTTAACACCATATCATGTAGTTTCAAAGTCTGAGACGTCACTACTGAGCTATGCGCGTTGTTAATGATCTCCTGTAGGATTGAGATATGTGCAATTAACTGATCACTAAATAGTGACCGATGTCGTGCTTGTCTGGTCCCTTTGGTATTGACTGTAAAGCCGATTAACTCGGTATCGAATCCAAAAAGAAGCACCAACTCGAGATGACAGGTACACCTTACTGATAAGTATCAAAGTGCACAAAAACTAGGTTTACTGCTTTCTCCAGACTACCTTTAACCATCTAATATCTCATTATAGTGAACTCGACGTCGAGTCACATTGAAACTCAGCTGATAGCGTTATATCAGTACTAAAGGATAAGACAAACATGTATAATTACTCCTCAGTGAACGATCAGTCGTAAATCAAATCGTTCTGCACATAAATTTAGTGATATAGGGAAAAAACCTAGTTTAGTTTAAGAAATATGACAGATTTATGTATATCATTAGTTAATTCATTACTCTAAAAAACTGATATATTTCTAACTACCAGAATATTTTTAATAGAAGACAGATATTCATAACATGTTAGTTACTACCAACGGGAATATACATAGAAGAGAGACAAAGTAAATGAATTATAAATGCAAACGTACAACAATGCTACTCTGATCGAGATGAAGAGAATGAATTTGTGACAATATTCAAAGTACCCTTCAAGAAAACCATGTAAGTAAGACTACACTACTTAATATTTGTAAGTAGTATGAGTTTTCTACAAAAAGTACCAGGATGCTTGAGTATTTTCTGAGGTATTCTAACAAAAAAATTCTTCATTCAAAAAGGAAGTGAAAATTACTAGCTTTTCTGTAATTGATCAATATATAGTGGCGTTTCGATAACAAATGATCCTGAGACTTCAAAATGGTAACGAACAAAATACCCGTGGCATACAGGTTTTCACACCGAGTCATCAATACTTGGAACCTGCTGCCCGAAGCAGTGGTGTCCGCACCTTCAATTGACTCTTTCAAGAGGAGACTGGACACCCACAGAAGCATACTAGAAAAGGAATAACATAGGCGGTAGGCCTTCTGTCCTTACTACACAAATCTGAAAAATAGATGATTTGTTAAACAAAAGAATATGGGTGAAGTTGGTATTGGAAGTAGAATTTATCTTTTCGATGTTTTTTTCGTGTGTGGAAATCTCGGATATACCCAAAGGAAAAAAAAACTTCACATACCTAATGCTTCTTTAAATGTACTTTTATCTTGTGTCATTAAATTATCAATGATTAAATTCCAACTTTGTAAAGCAATTGGACTCATTTGAAAAAATACTGATTCATAAAATAAATCCAAAACATCACGACGCCATGATTTACGTGTATATTGATAACTACTAATCGATGCAATTAATTTACTGGCTACAGTAAAATGATCTGAATTACTTAATCTAAAAGAATTAAACAGTTTTCAAATAGAAGGAAAATATTACCAGTATAGTATTGGAAGGGTAATGATGAATAGAAGATAATGGGAAGAAAATGACAATTCGATAAACAAAAGTATTGAATAAATATATACAGGATCTAGAACTTCAAGTAATTCACTCTTAATGATCATACGAGAAATTGTTGAAATAGAAAGCAAATAATACTGAATACGGATGTTCTCATACAGTAAAACGTTTATAAGTGAGTCGAATCATACTTTATGAAGTATGTAACAATTAGTATACTAGTCTGTTATCGTCTTTGCTTATTTATTTATGTGAACACATAAATATTAGTACAAGGAGGCACCGAATACATATGCGCCACACAAGTCACTTGATATGTATGGAAGCAGGGTGCTCAAACCGAATCAGATCGTCTTGCTAGGTGACTTAAAGGCTTAGTCAACAAGGCAGTGGAGCAACGTCAGGAGATGCAGTCTCATGGTAGCTAATGACTAACAATAGTTTCATACACCATTTGTTTCCTTCAGGATACTGGAGCCCATGTGAACCATTGGTTTGGAATCAGGGTTTTCCAACTCCCCTAGATGGATCCTCTGTAAAATTCAATAACTTGTATTCCCTATGAATAATAGTGTAGATTATGATGGAAATTAAATTTCATAAACATTAAATTCAAACAGTATCAGAACAATAAATCTCTTTATTTACCAAAGTACTTCCAATCGATCAATTTGTTTAATAAAAGTCATCAAGTCTGTTTATGAACAACTGCACAATCTGTTGTTGTAAGTTACAATGACAATTACAAACACAATAGACAACTCTGAACATTATGATATATTTATAGTTCTTTTTAGTCGTGGATGATTTCCGATACTCTTTTAATTGAGGGCTAGATGATATCATTGTCACTACTGAATAGATCAATGAAAACAATATCTGGCATGACACAAGTAAAGTTAAAATATCACTATTATAAATTGTATATATGAGTTATATTTTATGTTTAAAAGAATAATGATATAATTACATCATATGTAGAATGAAAATGAACTTACGTTCGAACACGAAGATAAGGAAAAATATTGCACAAAATATTGTTTAAAAATGTTGTTACACGATCTTTTTCATCACTTTTATACACTAAATCCAAAAATATAACCATATTCTGTGTAAGTTTTAAAAGAGACCGACATGCGCCAACCCCCCAAAGGTTTGAAAAAATTAAAACAAAGAAACAATCATGAAATGATGCAAATTTCAAATTAGATCATAAAATAGTAAAATTGAATAGGACTAAGACATGTCTTCAAAGGATAACACTAACTGTCCTCCCTTACCATAGTAATTACTTAGCTGAGATCTTCATCGTATATAACTGGAACTCGATTTCTGCCAATGGCGGGCGTTCAATATTATACAACTTGGTATTTATATACTGAACCGGCGAATATGTGTTAGATTCTAAAAGTTACTTTTGTCTAACTGAGTAACAGGAACGAGGAACATGAAAGTCGACAGTGTATACTGGACGATTTCATGAAGCTGGTTTCCTTGATAAACTTTTGTGAATCGACAATAATGAATTACAATTGTAAAAGACTTCATTGATTTGTACAAATCACTGAGTGTATGAATGAGTTCATCCTACAATGTTCGTTATTCTTGTTTAACGAAATATCGGACAAATCTAAAACATATTGGCGGAGTTCCCGTTATAAACTATGAAAGTTAATGTCAATATGTGAATATATTTTAAAAAAAAACCTGACGACTTTGTGTTTGACTTATTGTCCAGTTACCGTAGGTGTTTTTTGCCTAGGTGTTTTGGAAGTAAAACCAATCTAGTGCTCTCTCATACTCCAATAGTTTCTCAGTAACAGGTTAATTCACAATGAGAAATAAACTGTAGGTCAGTAAGATTATTTTTGCTTGCATTTCACATCATTGTTTTATGAATTTAAAGCTGTACAAAGATATCCGAAAAACTTAAATTATAGCACGTAACTCAAATTAGCTAGAGAATCAATTAAGTGATTGTGAAGATACGCGACTTGAGAAAAGAATTGGAATTGTGCTGAGTTCTCTACAGTGGATTATTCATAGTCGTAGTGTGCACATTATCGTTCTTTACAATCAAAGAAGACTACTTTCAATATTCATGAAAATGATCTTTACTACAAAGTTACATGATTAAACCAATCGCCTTGAACTAAACAACAGTGCTAAAACGACTGTTCACAAAGCTCCATTTTTTCATTCGTATGACAGTATGACGGTTATCCTTTAATCAGGAATTAAAACCAACAATATTTGATTCTGAAAATTCCTTACTCTTATACACACACACTTATATAGATGATGAATAAAAGCAAAATAAATAGGATTGATATGGAAAAACAAAAAAAGGTTAAGGTTGGTTTCTTATTTCACAAACAAAACTACATCTGTTAACAGAGAAGTCCAACTCACTGCCTTATTGCACCGCGGGTGTTCTTCACAAAATTGAGAGGATGAAAACCGAATGTACGGCACCGGCTTGGTGAATACAAAGAGTTCACCTAGAGTAGTTAGAAAACCTCAACACCAAACCAATGATGTACATGAGCTCCAACATCATGAAGGAACAATAAGCGTATGAACCAATTATCGGTCACTGGCTACGATGGGATTGACGCTGCTCCAAACCTTGTGGATTAGACCTTTAGGTCAAAGGCTCCGGGTGTCGCACCCCCCTAAGAAAACCACCAGCTTCGGTTTGGGCATTCGGGCAGTATCCTAGCCATCACATAAACCGAATGATTTATGTGGTGCATATTTATTTCGTGCCTTATTGTATCAATGATTATATAGTTAAATAAATAAACAAATAAATAATACCTCTGTTAACAACTCAATAGCTTGTATTGTCACATCGCTACGCATACGGATACGTGTTATTTCATTTGACAACAGATTCACAGATGCTAATATTGTGGGAAAACCATACAAAAACAAATATTTATGCATAAAAAAGACTCGAATGATAAATTAACTAGACAATACGTGGAAAAATTTACAATAATTTTAGTATAACGATAAGTAAAACTACGAAAAGTCGAGAGATTTTAATAAACAATCATATTTTTTGAATGATCGGGGTTCAGTATGATATGCAACCGATGGACAGATACAGCGTAAAACACTGCGTGGTGATTAATGTTATGAGTGTCAGGTCCTTCTCAGTGTACATCGAATCCTATCGACTATCCAAATTAACTCGATATTGCGTGTACTATGTTGAGATAAGATGGTGGTTCGAAGTAGTGAACAGGAATCCCTGGACCTAGGTTTCGTGCTACTTGGCACTCGTCAGCAAGGTGTACCTGTAATCTTGAGGGAACTGATACTCCCTAACGGATTCGAACCCATATCACCCAGTGTCACAGTCACAGACATTACCATTGGGCTATCCCGGCCGTGACTGACTTCCTGTAGGACTGAGATGTATTTACAATCGATTGGCTACTGGGTGATGGTGATCAGTGTCATGTGTGACAGATTCTTTCCAGTGCAGAAGGAATTCTATGGATGATGAAAATGATTACGAACATAGGGATCACAATTTTCTCTTATTGTTTAAAATATTTCATTAAAGCTGAAAATACATGACATTTGAAAAAAAGTTGTCTTCGATGAATTACTTCCTAAAAAAATGGAAGCATCAGGTGGTGAGCAACGACAGATTTAAAAGTAGGGTTTAAGATAGTAAAGACTAGTTGATTGATAAGACTATATAACCTATACATGATATAGCCATCGTATACTCAAACACTCAATACTAATTGATTTAAGGGTAAATTTAAGAAAAAGCCAAAATGAAATGAATCCATTGATTTTATTGACTGTTAAACTGAAACATGTCATTCAATCGTAAACAACAGAACATACTTATATTTCGTATTAATCGGTTCAATTTATAACAGTTCACTGCCACTGTACACAAGTTACTGTTAAAAAATGTGTCCTAGAACAATATCTTGGAATTGATGATTATCGCCTGTTTAGAGTATGGATTATAGGTAGAATTATTATATGTAGATATGTATGCATGTACTCTTCTTTTTAACTTGTGAAATCTTTCATGTATTAAAACTAACTGACATATTATTAAGCAACCAACTTTTCAAACTAAAAAGCATCTTATACTCATAGACTGTGCTGTCGTGTTTGTAATAAAGAACACAATTCTATCAGTAAAGTTTTCAATATTTGTGGAAATTGATCTTCATTAGTCTAACTTTAACAAAGATGGATGTAACTAGAGATTGTGGAGATTATTCTTGGTTGAAATTGTCTCTGCACTCAGCAAAAACACGTGAATTCGACTACAGAACATGTAATATAATCGACATTTTACTCTTGGATTTTCCGAAATACCTGTTAACTAAAAAGCTTACTCCAAATAACGTGGGGCATCAGTTATAATAACTGTGTTTTTGATTAACACAAGCCCAACTTCATTTCTCCAGGTTCATCATTGGCTACCGTGCTTCAATGGATATTGGAAGCAATATCAGTTGAAATGAATTACATTTATGCTCACATAAGAATAGGTTTTCAAACACTTTTTTTCTACGAAAATAGGAACTACAGACGATTTAGATGAGTCTAAAACTGTTGGGGACGTCAGATCCTAAGAACTCACTTGAGAAAGGACCTAATTTTGAAATTTTATTTAGAAAATTTGAATTTTTTTGCTTTCACGCCAAAGGCGCTGTTTCCACCTTCATGTCGTAGTTCCCATTTAGGAGAATCTTAAATGCTATTGGTCCGTTGTGTCTTTTAGTATGCTATTTTGTAATTCTCGCGAAGGACGGTTTTGTGTTGTATATATACGTCTTGATTTGTGTTTGTTGTTATCGCTCTTTTCTGGCTATTTGCGGAATATACTTCCCCTATTCCAAGCTTGGATTTCTTCCTCTAGTTAGCGGGGCTGGGACGCATCGAATAACTAGCTTATTGGTTTTTGGTCACCGACTCTTTGTTCCGTTCGCAGTTTAAGTGAACTCGTAACCGCTTCAAACCTAGCAAAAACTTAAACTAATGAAATATCCACTAGCGAATACTCAGTTAGTGTGAATAATCAGTTTCAACCTGAATACCAAATAACTTTTGTAGATTAACTAAAATGTTATTCTAAATGATGCCCATCCCATCTACCAACTAATTCGAGAACACTAATGATGATAAATGTGAGATTATTTCCTTTCTTCATACATTTCACACATGCGGAATACCATTTTGCCTATTATCACAGTTTCATTTAATCTAGAATAATTAAAACAATACATAAATACAAACAAACAAATAATGTTACTATCTTACAATGCCGTGATTTTGAATAACATGATGAAGGCAATGCTATTGATATTGATTTATCATATAAATCTTTTACAGAAGATTGTTCTACATCATTCAATACATCATTTGCATTGTTAAGTTGTCCAATAGAATGTGAATTTGTTAAATCTGATGATCCATTTCCTAATCGATCAGATTTATTAATAGATTCAAAAACATCCGATCCTGAAAGCGATATACGATCAGTTAAATCGATAGAATTTAAAGGTTGGGAATATGGAAATGAATTGGTTAAATCACCATCGAGTTGACGAACTTGTAAAGTTTTACGAAACCATGATGGTTGATGCAAGGCAGATGCAGCAATAGAAGCTGTCGTTTCAAGTAATCGATGACATAATTCCTGAATAAGAAAATAAATAAATTAATCACAAAAATTAAGAGTAAAATAGCGCCTTCATAACTTTTATTTGATTTTAAAAACTTATCAGCCCGAAGATTAAAACTCGAATACCAAAAAATGAAGAAAACATTCATAAACATGACTAGAACTTTGATACCAATCATATGTTTACAAAATCCATTATTTCAATACCTTATAATGATATATACTACTAAATAATCGTTCTTCATAAATAATCTAAGGGTCTGAAGTGGTCAGTACCACCAGTTGGGAAATATCAAAAATGTATGTTGATTACGCCTAAACAATTGATAGTTAATTAGTGAGTAAAGCAAACAACGAACTATTTGCATTGAAGGTTACGTAATTAAATGTCGCATATATTAAAAAGTTAAATAATAATTAAGAACGAAGTATGGACAACATACCTGTAACTCTTTTTGTTCTCGTTTATCATCGGTAAAATTAGCTGTTTCTAAAAATTTGCTGAAGATTCTACAAAGAAAAAACGAGATCAATACAAATATCACTTATCGATAACAGTACTCATTTCATTTACACATCCAGGTGCTATAAATGAAACATTCAAGATGATTTTATCAAGAGATTGACTTAAACAATAAGTGAAGTTTTTCAAACAAACAATGTAGCCATAAGGTTTAGAAGTTTAAAAAAATATTTTCAATGAAAATGAAATTTAAAAATACTATTATAAAAACGAAGAATCATAGCCATGGTAACAGTGTATCGCATGGTATAATTACCAGACTGAGAAAATGCTTAAGTACTCCTTAAACTACTACTTATTAAAAAGTAGTATAACACAACATACAAAAAATTAGAGAGGCATTGAACTTGTCAAACAATATTCAAATATATCTTTTAAAATACATTCAAGTGTGCTGAAAATATAGAAAGTATTCTTATGGATATTCTAGAATTTACGAAAAATCACTTATTCCAAACACATATACCTTTATGACTTTAAAAGAAACAAGAACAGATTTAAGCAGAACTACATGAATTCATTTTTATTTCGTTAGGTTTTCGTTGACTGTTTACAAACTGTGTTTCAATATTTTTTCAATTCCGATTTTTCAAGACTACACTCTGTAGACGACTGACAAGGAACTGAATTAATGTTATTCAACTGTGATCAATTGTTGAAGAGCTGAGGTAACATCCCTGATAGTTGGTAGAAGTGATGTTTTGGTGTGTGCTACATATACGGACAGATATAAGTGGTGTGTATCAAGAAATAAGTAGGATTGTTACAGACAGAGGACAAATAGAAACAGAATTAGTTATTATAGCAACAGAAATGGAAGAATGGTGGATTTTATGAAACACAAATTGAGGAAGATATGCGAATGGTGTATTGTTTTCAGATTTTACAAATGTGTGTAATTTTGCATAAATCTCTTATAATTACATTTTCTTGAATCTAATCTTTTATATTCACTCTATTACCAAGTCTTAGAAATCATTACTGATTCGATTCCATTTTCTATTCAGGTTATTGATTGCATATCATAATATTAATGTATTGTAGTAAATTAAAACGTTGAGTATAAGTGTCAGTTACTATGTTGTTTTTTGACTGAATAATAGGATATTTCATGTATCACTAATATAGATCAAAAATATACTATTTAATGAAAGTGAATACAATTTTCGAATAATAATGTTAACCGTAAAACTATGAATAAACAGACCGAGATGATAAGATAATGTTGACTGAGCATCTCATAAAAAAGGGTAAAAATCACTTGGTGTCATTTGCTTGTATCTCCCCATTGTTGTTTAGGACTGTCTCTTGTTTGCAGGTACATCTAGCTGACGAGTCCCAAATAGAACGAAATACACATCAAACTGGATCCCATTGTAGGCCACTAACAATACAGGATGCACATATGTCAATAAGAGATTGATCAATTGCAGTCCTAAACAACAATACTACGTGAATTTATACTTCACTCCATTGCATAAGCAAGTGGATATCAACACTCAGTAACTAAGTGCATAACACGATAGCATTTGAAGTGATCGGTACTAGATTGGAGTCCCAAAATGAACATCCACTTTAAGATGCAGATACATCCCCAACTGACGAGTCTTAAATATAACGAAACACACGTCCACTACTAGCCAATATCCATCTTTGTTTCTAATAACTTCACCATCAACATAAAACACGTGGTAGCAACAAAAAACCCAAATAAACACAATTTAATACAATAAATTTAACATACTTGATAAGAATGAATATTCCTGCTGGTGAAAGACCCAATGTCGTACTACTACTACTATTGGTAGTAGTAGTCGTCGTACTGGTTGTTGTTGTTGTTATATTCATTATATTCATATTATTATAATTAATTATTGTTGGTAAATTAATTAAATCACGTATTAATATTAATAATAAATCCGATGATATAAAATCTGGTTTCATAATAAGCCATGCATAAAATAAATGTAATAAATTCGTTTGTAAACGTATTAAATTTACTCCAGAATTTGTATTTGACTAAATGAAAAAAAGGTAAATAAATAGAAAACAAAAACAAAAAAATTAATGAGAATAAAGAAAAAAAATAATAGTAAACAAAGAAAATCAATATTCATTTTTATCCATTGAATGCTACTTGATACATTTGGTCATCGCTGAATGTTATGTCGGAAACTCTTATCACTTATACTCGAAACAAAGGACATCTGCAGTTCCCACGACGTGAAAGTAAGAACACAAAGATTGGTATAAATGAATATTAATTAACCCGAAAATACAACGATGACGTCGACAACAACCTTCGTCGAAAAACACACTCATTTACATATTGATTGTATATACAATTTGATTAATAATTAGGATGAAATCACATATATGAAAAACACTCAGAGTTATAACAAACCATATATAGAGCATGGTTTAGGTCAATCGAATACAAGAATATCGTATATTATACGAGAAAAAAAGGAGGTACCTGAAAAGAAAACTGGATTAGAGGTGGTATTAGTGACCTGAGAGCGTGATCGCAGTGCCCAAGGGACAACTGCTTGAGGTCAGTCACACACGACCTTTTATGGGTAATTTTTGTGTTAGCTCCGTACTTGTTAAGACCTTACCGCCGGAGACGGATATCCGTGGGATAAGGCGAGGTGTGCAATTTTAGGGTGAACCTTTTCTACACCCACCCCTCCTTATGGGAAGGCAGCATCGCTGTCATGCCGGCTGTCTGAATGAAACATCTTACTGCTGTCACACCTCTGTACAGTTAGCAGTACAACTTCGACTTCGGACCTTAGGTTTGTTACTTTTAGTCTTACCGCTCTTCAACCGACCTGTCTGACATGGTAGGACCTTGAGGAACGGTTGTTCCAGCCAGTATAGCTCGGTTGCTTCATCACGATAGGCAAGCCCGACCACTACGTCAAGGTAGCAACAACGGTCGGGATTATACGAGAAAAAAAATAATTACTACACTGAATAATCATTACAGTGAATCATAACGGAGGTAATGTTGAACAAAACTCATAATGAGTAAATCAAAACGAATTTTGACTTTTCTTTCCATCATATCAGTTCTATTGTAGTGAACGAGAACAAACAAGTCAGATCAATCGAATGTAATTGAATACAAAACTATAAAACACCTTAATAAAATTTAAGAACTATTACAGTAAATACTTTATTTGCAAAAAACAGTCAATTAATTGTCGTAAACTTGACTATTTCTTTTGTAAATATCCGTCCATCATCTCAGATTTGATTGTTCCTGCGTTTTCATACCAATTACTTTCTGCTCCCGTTCTTTCCTTCTCGACCTTCTGCTGCCAGACATTCTAATCCTGAATATCATCATTATATACTACTTATGTGGATATAAGTATCTCAAACCACACAATCTTTACAAGATCATGTAGAACTTCTTTCTTTTTTTAAGAAAATAATGTTAATTACTGCAGATAAATAACACAACTTTTATTGTTGGTAGACAGATATCTTGCCTAGGTCATAAATGAACTTAGGGTATATTTAGCATTTGATTCGTGAGGATTCAACAATACTACCTCACTAATAAATGGCTGGAAAAAGAAATAGCCATGAGTCCATAGGAGGTACAATGATAGAGACCTTAGTCAACAGCGGTTATTTAATTCAATCAGATTCAGCATCAGTCTTTAGCTGTCAAAATCATTTCTATAATTTGAATATGATCATAGACAAGACAAATCATAATTATCAGCTGAGATCATACCCGGAAAATAAGAAAACCACGACTGATTCCCCCAAATGCCCGAGGGTGGGGAGATTCATCTCGCTCTCTTTCTCGAAATACTCTCACATAGTCACGTGCATACAACCACTGACAGGGAAATTCTAAACACTGCCTTCTCGCGTCACGGGTGTTCGCCACGAAATTGAGAGGACGAAAACCGAATGTCCGGCACTGGCTTTAACCGGGTTGGTGGACACGGAGAATTCACCTAGGGGAGTTGGAAAACCCTGATTCCAAACCAATAGTGCACATGGGTTCCAGTATCCTGAAGCAACAAATGGCGTATGAACCAATCGTCGGTCATCGGCTACCATGAGACTGCATCTCCAGACGTTACTCCATTGCCTTGTTGACCAGACCTATAGGTCAAAGGCTCTGCGTGTGCCCCCCCCCAACAAAACCACTCGCTTCGATTCGGGCACCCAAACAGTATCCCAGCCCTCACACAAATCCAATGATCTATGTGGTGCATATCTATTTAATGCTTTCTTGTATCCACGTTTATAATGTTTAAATAGACATTCATTCAAATAGGAAAATAATATAAATATGTAAATAACAAATTATCATTTACAATACTACTTATTACTTTATATCCATTTGTTATTAATGATGTATTCATTTCTTGTAATGGTGAATATGAATTCATTAATGATGACGATAATGAAGTGAAATTATATTGTAATTGAATAGTATTAATGATTGGTAATAAAAATGAATTATTCATTGGACGACGTAGAATATCACGTAAATGATTAATTAATATTGTAGATGATAATATAGAACCATAATGTTTATCATCATAAGTTTGACCACTAATTAAATCTAATAAACTATATTGTTTATGATGTAATGGAATGGAGTAAATTTCTAAAAAAAGAAAATAATTATCGATTTTATTTTGTCGATGAGAAATAAACAAAAAGAGAAAAAATGTAAACAATTCAAAAGCTTCACTTGGTATTATTTGGCTTGTATCTTCCCATTGAGGTTTTAAGACTGCAATTGATCAGTCTGTTATTGGCATATGTGCATACTGTACGTATGCGTCAATATTACCTTAATTCACAAGCTATTTGTAAGCAATGATGGATAGTGGTTAGCAGTGGAATCCAGGACGCGTGTTTCATCCTATTTGGGACTCGTAAGCTGGATGTACCATCATTGCTTGCAAAAAGCTTGTGAATTAAGGCAATATCGAGGTATACGCACAGTATGCACAAATGCCGATAACAGACCGATCAATTGCAGTCTTAAACCTCAATGGGAAGATACAAGCCAAATAATACCAAGTGAATTGAAATTCACCACATTGCACGCGCAAGTAGCTACCAGGGCTCAGTAGCTAAGTGGATAAGGCGATGGCGTTTGAAGTGGATGGCACTGGGTTCGAGTCCCATAGTGAACAACAACCCAGATGCACGAACACCCAGCTGACGAGTCCCAAATAGAGCAAAACGCGCGTCCTGGACTCCACTGCTAGCCACTAACCATCATTGAATTCAAAAGCTTGTTAATATCAGTGAAATATAATGCAGAGACATTGGAAATAATAAACAAACAATAACGATAAGTAAATAGATTTTAAAGATGACAAATATAATTATGTAACTATGCTTGAAGTCCGTAAAAATCGATTGTTTTTTCGCATTCTACTAAAAGACATAGATTCAACAAACGATCCAGCATAAATGTCTATCAATCTAAACTATCATATTTGATATCAATATAAAAAAGATTACGTAATTGAAATAATATCAATAGAATGGATATCTATTTGGATAGATGGTTAATTGATTTCATATAATGTTGAATAATGATTTCAACCATAGATTATAATTATCTATCTGGTTCTAACAAAAAGTTAATACCTTCTAAAATGATTAGGAGCAATAAGTCATGTCCTTATCAGTTGAGTACAAAACACAAATCAAGGTTCTTTTTAATTTTCCATAGCAGTATTGTATTTTTCACCGAATCCAGTATTACGGTTTTAGGATATCATCACGTGTAACTGTCGTTGAATAGACTAATTATACATTACATTCTACATGTACATACATAAAGAACACTTACCTGAAGTACCATTATCTCTTTTTATTCTTAAAGGTATAAGCATATCCAATGGGCCATAGTTTATTAGTGAATCGAATCCAGCAAGTAGACCACCAGTTTCAATATCAAAAGTTGTATTTGGCCAAGCTACAGCGGTTGTTACCAATAAGAGATCTGGATGTTGTGTTGCGATAGGCTTTAGTAGCCGACGAATAGCGCCACGAACAAGAGTAGCTGAACCAAGGCTAATTAATGGAGATAAACTTTCAGAAGGAATAGGTGAGTTTAACAACGACCAATGTTCTTTATCTGAAGAGTATATAGAACGAAAAGTTTGAGAGTACCAACATATGATGGTTGAAATAATCAGTGATAGTCAACTTCTTTCCGATCACTTGATGAGTTTAATTAATAAGCTATGATTTATTCATACATATAGGTAACAGGAGAATAGATTATTTCCGTTATACTATATCATACTTCTGAGTTCTTTCCTAGTTGGCTTCAATTATTGGATCCACACTTTGTGTTTACAACACGATACTACTTACTAATATTCAGTAGTTCGATCTATACTGAATAATATATATATATATATAATTCCAGTAATTGTGTTTGGTTGATTTCTTTTTAGCTGAACACAAGATAAGTATGTTTAATTAGTTCTAATTAATGAAACAATACTGAAGAATGAATTGTCAAACAATAAAAAATAAGTTCTGAGTAATGTAAAGGAAGCTAAGAGTTGAAGCTTTAAAAGTTCTTTTTATAAAAATCACATGAGGTAATCAGTTCTAGAATATAAAGTTAACTTTACTAATTAATCTGAAAGAATATTCTTAGTAGTTAAAAACAGAAAAGAGTACATGTGAGTTGAATTTAACAGATTTCGATTACAATGAAATATTACCAAGGTAGTTGAAGATAATTTACTGGTTCTTCTTCAATACGAAGGTCAGACTCACTCCTACTAACTGTTATGCTTTCTATAAATTTTAACAACATGGAATGCAACTGTTTATTAAAAACCTAAAACGAATTCATTGCCCCTGTATCCAGTAGGTGGTATGCTATTAACCTACGTAGTTAATTATCTTTTTTTTTGGGGGGGGGAGGAGGAATACGCTTATTAAAACAAGAAAATTGAACCATGCTCATGCCTTAGCGTTGTAACCAATCACATTGTACATATACATAATGAAAAAATAACAAATAATATAAATATTGAATATATCTTTCACCTGGATAACGACTAGTCATTGTACAAGTAGATTTGTAAAGGTTTCCTTTATGTAACTGACAGAATGGTGATTGATTAAGAGTATTCCAAAGGAATGCTATGCTTGAAATAATATCAGGCATTAAACGTAATACCTCCAATTGAGCTTGAACAAAAGGATGCAATTCAGGATTTAATATATCATCTTTAATATTTACATTTTTAGAGTTCTAAAATAAGATTAACAAAAATTGTGAATGGATAATGAACAGAATGAGTAATTGAAAAAGTAACGTAAAGAAAAAACATTGATAGGTCGTTCAAAAACTGATTAAATTCAAATCAGTAGACATTATTCAAATTGTTGGTAGAACCACAAACTTGGTATGAAAGGTTATATGGATTCATTTCGTGATAAAGTTAAAACAGTTCCACACTATCATTAAACGACTAGTCAGTATTATCTATTTATCAATGACTGGCTAGACGAAATCAGTCTTTGTAGTCCATTACAAATAATAAATTTAATACTGAATTGACAAGTCTCTGTTTGCATATCCAGTCCTAGACTAACTAATAGTAGGTTAGTTGTATTCGATCAATGGTGTTTTCGAAGCATCGCTCGTGTATTTTGGGACCATAAATTAAGTAGTGGATTGGGTTAGCATTTGAGTACTAGGTTACGATGGGAAATCGATTGAAGAGCTAGTAAATCTTCACTAACTATGGTGATTCAGACATCGATTACATGTACTCCTCTACCTTTTACCTCAACGGGTAACATTTTCTGATGTAGGAGTAGGCTGGAATAAGTCAGTGACAGTCAAACCAAAACACGACACACGTACATGAATTCATTGACAATTAGACTGAGTCATGTTAGTCGGTATAGATCACTACTAATGGCTAGACTTTAAATGATATGGCTCAAAATCGTTTACAGTGACACAGGCACATACGCCCTTTCCTTCAATTTTGAGATTGTAAGTTCCTCATAACCTACTTTTGATTTTTATTTCACGAATTCATATTTTCTCCAATTGCATCTTCGATACCTAATCGTTTCTATTACCATTGATACCATTGCTACGTCTAGTGTTATGGGATTTGGTCTGACAATTTCATTTATCTGTGCTAATAGGGTCTGATAACTTGAACCAATGCACATACGTACCGGGTTCTACCTTGTAAGCGACTAATTGATCTTGAAAGAATAACTTGTTGTTGAATAGTAGTAAAATATGCAACGTACATTTCATTTTTACGTATATTTTTTACTCGGTTCCTACTAAGATATTGACAGATTGTACGTTAGCCAAAATGTTAACATCATAATTCGCTAAGTTATTAATTCACAAACATGAGTCTTAGAACATGTTCATAGTCACAATTAGACAATAATAATAATAATAATAATAATAATAATAATAATAATAATAATAATAATAATAATAAAGCTATAAGGAATACTGAAGAATTAGTTCAAAGTTTGTATATACAAAAAGAAACTGATCAGCTTTGAATGTAAACAAACATAAACCATTACGAATAATACTTAGATTTCAGCTGTAGTAAATTATAATGTTTAGGATCCAACACATTTCTTACAATCTGTATATATGTAATGGTAAAACGAATCAGACAACTGATTTCGCTATAATGGACGTCAGTTTTAACATTCAAAAACCCAACTCGAACTGAATGACCATTTATAAAGTGAAAATGGAAGTATCGAAGTTTCAAAATCGTCTATAAAGCTTCTGTTTGAGTAGCCGGGCAGTATCACAGCCTACATAAAAAACCAAGTGTAGCACATATGTATTTGGTGCCCCTTTGTACCAACAGTTATGTGTTCAAATAAATGAAGCATTCATGTCACTGAGGAACAAAAGTACTCTTAATGCAAATACGTTTTATACAAAAGAAAAGTAATCAAACTATTCAAACTCAATCAACAAATTATTACATCATTTGAGAAAATGACAACTAATACGACAAACAGTAATCTAAATAATGAGATAAAAGAAGTAACTGTTCTACTAACTTTTGCACGATTCAAAAATATTACAGTAGAACTTGGAGAATGAACTGACATTTCTGTCGTCTCCACCTTATCATCTCCTATTCCAGAAGTTAAAATTACAGATGGTTCCAAATTTGAAACATTGTCCACAGATGGATTATTCGTATTTGAACAATGGTCAACATTCTCTGTAAGAGGCGATGGAAACAAAGGATCAAATGCTGGTACAGCATTATTGACTTCTGGTATGGGTCCACTTGGATTTGGTGGATTCAATTTGTGATGATAAAGAATTTCAGCAATTTCCAAAGCACCTTCTATTGAATCTGGAAGACCAGTTAATTGACTAACAGTTGGTGGATTACCACCACGCATCGATGCACTAGTTTGTTGTAATGAATTCACTTTTCGAGATGACATAAGCGGTAAAGAGGCATTGCCAACTGACAGAAGAAACGCATGACAAATGCCTTGAATTAAAGCTAATACAGTTAATGTATAGTCTGGTGGTAAAAGCTCCCATTCACTTGTATTTGATAATCGTGATCTTCTATGAGAATAGAGAGAAAAAAATAAAATACATAGTGGTTGCACCAAAGTGAGCAACATGTATGATTACATTCAGGTAATAAGTTTATTTTACAGTGAACAGATGTCATTGTAATTGCACAACTAGTTCAATTAACTACAATCTAATGTACTTTACTGACATTCGTCATCTTACATTCTAATGAAAGAAAGGGTAAATTGTCATGTATAGAACAACCGTATAGTCTTCTTATTTCATATTCATTTATTTGTGATCTGAGATACGTATAGATTATTATTATTATTATTATTATTATTATTATTATTATTATTATTATTATTATTATATCTTCATTAAAAATGAATTTAGAAAACAAGTTCATTTCATGGATGCAAGTGTGAATCAGTTCACTAAGATAATGATACCATCAGCAACAGCCTTTTGTGGGAGAGAACAAACGAGCTTCCAGCTGAAGAAGAAATTAGGAAAAGACGATGGAAATGGATAGAACATACACTATGCAAATCGTCAAACCGCATCACGAGAGAAGCACTAACTTGGAATCTTGAAGGGAAGCGGAAAAGAGGAAGGCCAAAGAACAGATTACGTCGGATAATAGAAGCAGATATGAAAAGGATGAATAGGAACTGGAAGGAGCTGGAAAGGATTGCCCAAGACAGGGTTGGATGGAGAATGCTGGTGAGAGGCCTATGCTCTTTCACGAGGAGTAACAGGCGTAAGTAAGTGTTATAATCTCTTCTTACGGTTATGACCCAGCTATTCATATTGCTTAGTATTCTCGGACACCGATTCACTCGACAAGTCCCCAAATCAGAACACGGTTGAACAGGAAAGAGATTATATTCCAAATAACAAGGTTAGATGGAAGTAAGATGCTAGTAAGAAGCCAGTAGGAAGCACAATAGAGAAAACGTCAGTATATTTATAGTTTTTACATGAGAAGATTCTAGAGTATTCTCCAACTATCGACTAATGCTGATTGGATAAGAATTAGCCAATCAGCGTGCACCAAAGCAATCATGCATTGAGCATGCTTTAATCCATCCTATGTCACGCTAACAGTAAGATAATGGTCATTCGGTTTACATGTTGTATCCTGTATACCACACGGTGCTTGAACCATTGACTTACTATTTGAATAATAAGCATGTCAGATGATTGAGGAAAGTCGTTAAAAAACATTCTAAAGCGAAGTTTCATGTTAGTTAGAACTCAATCTTGTACAGTATATCCTATAATTCATCTCCAAACATCTAAACATAATATGATGGACGCAATATTGATTCACTTAAACCAATAAACACATTGTAACTTGATAAATAGAATTCGATCAACAATAAACGACTAAACAAACATAACAATGGGCTATTCACTGAGTAACTAATCAAATATACATACATAAGTATCTCTACAAATCATCTTCATAGAACTCACCTAATATTATTATTACAACGTGTTTGTATATTCTGACAAACACGATCACATAGTTTATTTAAACTTGAACATATTTGTTTAATAGTTACTCGTATTAATGATCCAATAAACCAACCCCAATAAGATAAACTTTTAAATATAAAACAATACCATAATGGATGTAAATCCAAACGAGCTGAGAAAAAACTTGAATAATTAGGTGTATTATCATTTAATGATGATGATAATGGTGATGATAATCCAATCGATAATAATTCAATGAATAAATTCAATTGATCTTTTTCAATACTTGAAGAAGTTTTAGTCGAGTTAGATGACCACCATAATGTTGTTATACAATTGATATGAAATAATGATTGATGATTTAATGCATTTGGCAATTGATTACAAGCTATTGACCAAATATCAGTGATATAATGAGTTAATAAATCATAACTTGTTAATTCATTATCTAATAATAATATACTTGGACATACTGGCCATAATAAATTATTATTATTATTAGTAGTAGTATTACATAATTCTGTTGATGTTTGACAATTTTGTTGTAATACATAATGATATTTCATTAAAGACATACGATCAGAATAACCATACCATGGTTTTAAATGAAGAATTACATTGAATAATTTTAATAAAGTTTGTAATTGTGTAGTTTGAAATGAATTCGGTAAATTTGATAATTGATCATTGACAAGTATTAATTGTAAACATGTTGGAAGTTTTCTGTGTAAAAATGTTTTTTTTCAAAGAGAAGAGGATAATTTAAAAAAAACATGAATATAATTAAAAGTGAATAAAGACAGGAGATGCTTTTTCTTTACATTTAGTAATAATAATGAACAACATGAGGTATGACAATAACATTGCGGGTATATAAAACGGATTAATTTTGCCCTGAAATGTCGTGGTACGGCCGAGAGTGAAGAGACAACTCTCCCTCTTAAAATGCTTTAACATAGTCACGCGTATACATCCACTGTCAGGGAAGTCCTACTCATTGCCTTCTCGTGCCACGAGTGTTGTTTACGAAATTGAAAGGATGAAAACCGAATGTTCGGCACTGGCTTTAACCAGGTTGGTGGACACGGAGAGTTCACCTAGGGGAGTTGGAAAACCCTGGTTTCAAAGTAATGATGCAGAAGGACTACAGGATCTCAGGAGAACAAATGACGTATGAAACAATTATTGATCGCTGGCAACCATGGAACTGCATCTCTTAAAGTCGCTCCATTGCCTTGTATATCAGACCTTTATGTCAAAGGCTTTAGGTGTGGCCTCCTAAGAATCCCACCCGATTCGGCTTGGGCACCTGGGCAGTATCCCAGATCTCACATAAATCGAATGATTTATGTGGTGCCTATGTACTTCATGCCTCCTCGTACCAATGTTTAAGTGTTTAAATAAAATAATTTTTAAACTTTGACTAATTGATTGAAATCCATCCTAAACAAATCATTTAAATAGATGACCATCAGGTATGTTCACTTAATCTAACATACCAAAACAATTAAGGATATATGACAGAACTAAAATAGAGTGATAGTGAGTAAACTAAACACTAGTATTTCTATAATGGGGAAGACCAATTTATTGTTTATTGCAAAATTACAGTGTCTTCGTAAATTATGAAAACCATACATTAAATACTTCATTAGTACATCTTCCATCAGTTTTCCTTTACAATCTTCATGATTCTTCCAATTTTGTTTTTATTCGGACTCATGACTGTTCTTTTCAGTTTAATCTTCTCAACCTTCTTGCTAGGTTTGAAGCGATTTCAAGTTCATTTAGTCTGGGAACGGAATAAAGACTTGTGACCAAAGACCAATAGCGTTTAAGATTCTTCCAAGTGAAAAATAGGACATGAAGGTGAAAAGATCACTTTCGGCGCGAAAACAAAGAAATCCGAACTTTAAAAATAAAATTACAAAAATAAGGTACTTATCAAGTGAGTTCTAGGGATCTAACATCCTCAACACTTCTTTAAACGAGTATTCTTCCATTTCTGAACGGTGTTAGATAAAATTTACATATGTCAACACAAATAGCATACATTATACTTCACCCAACCAGCAATACTATGAGTGGTACCTATGAAAACATCTAAACATTTTTAGATTGTAGTCAAAATGGCAATTAAAGAGTACTGGAATTCAAACTTTCTAGAGATTAGTGGACATAAAATTAAATTTTTAACATTATTATGCAACTATTTGAAGCTATGAAAATTATTCATACCTGATTCCATTTGATGTTGAATAATCCGACCAGTTTTTATCCGTTTTAGGCCAATGTACTTTTGTAATACAAGAGGCTAAACAATGTAAAACAACAGATGGTATACAAGTATGATGTAAGGTATTTTGTACAAGACGACGTCCATTAGCTTGTTGAATCATAGATGAAAATGTAATTGTATTGGGAGGAACAACGTTTGAATTTGTAGACCCAGTTGAATATACTGATGATAATTCTGGTATACGTGTACTAGAAAAGGAATTCTTAACATTGGATAAACTGGAATTGGACTTTAAAGCTGAATTCATCAGTGACGGATTAAAACATTCATCTTGTATCAATACTAATTGCTAAAATATAGAAAAATCATTGTATTAAGGTTTCAATGAATTCTAACAATACTACCAAAAAAATATTGAACATAACTGTCCCAATTACAAAAGTCAGACACAACTCTAAGAAAAATTTGAACTGATGATAACAATAATAGAACTTTGAGGAACGTGTAATGAATGGTAGGTAGTATCTTAGAGATTAAAACATTTGACCAGTTGATTGCAAGTACAAAATATACTATCCATTTTCATCGGTTTTATATTAAACTATGATTCAAATCCGAGTAAATCTTTGAGACAGAGAACGAGAGATTTATTAAAATGATGTGTATGTTTATCCAATATTGATTGCTTAAAAACTACGAGGGATTATTTTCATCGAATAGGATGAATTAATAAGCATCAGTTATCAACAAAATAAAACCTATGAGATAGGTAGATCAATCATGTGCCCCCGAATGCCCTGGTATGGCCGAGAGTGAGGTGGGCACGCCCTCCCTCTTGAAATGTTCTCATACGGTCACGCGTATACAGCCTCTGCCAGGGAAGTCCTACTCACTGCCTTCTCATGGCGAGGGTGTTGTTTACGAAAACGAGAGGACGAAAAGCGAATGTCCGGCGCTTTAACCGGATTCCAAACCAATGATGCACATGGGCCCCAGTATCCTGCGGGAACAAATGGCGAATGAACCAATTGTTGGTCATCGAATTCAATGGGACTGCATCTCCTTACGATGCTCCACTACCTTGTGGATCAGACCTTCAGGTCGAAAGCTCGGGGAGTGGCCCCCTAAGAAAACCACCTGTTTCAGTCTGGGCACCCGGGTAGTATCACAGCCCACACACACAAATATGCTGTGGCGCATATATATTTGGTGCCCTCTTCTACCAATATTTATGTGTTGAAATAAATAAATAAATCATGTTCAGTTAGCAACATAAACTATAACAAAATATTACTCTATTCTAGAATTTCAGACAGCTTACTTCAACAATCAATGTTAAAATCTCTGCAGCTGTATTCTGTACAAGTTGATTAGCACGAAATTCACTTTTAGAATTACCAAAACGATGACCAAATTCAATGGAACATTTATTATTGTTATTCATAGATGAACTAGTATAATTGTTATCAACATCATCCTCATCAATCATAGTATTGACAGTTGATATTGTTTTCATTGTAATAAAAGGTAAATAACTACACATATATTGTAAACATAAATCAATAATTAATTCTAATAAATTTGTATAATTTTGTTGCGATTGACTTAATTCTTCTGAACTGACAGTAGAAAAAAAATTACAACCAGCCATAGAACGACGATGTCTTGATAAAAGTTCAATAAATTTTAAACCATATAAATTGAAACTAAACATTGAATTGATTGTACATGATGCAAGTGAACGAACAAATAGAGCAGGAGCTATAGATAGAATTGCTCGAAGACGAGAGAAAGCATAAATCACCTGAAATAGATAGAATAATAGAAGCTAACGGTGGATATGTTAAGAATAAATATTAAAAATACTTTATAATCTGATATTTCTTTTAAAAAAAACATTCCTTGAGTAGAATAGAAATTCAACGATATCTACACACAAATGGCTCTATTAACACTGTGTATTCCAAAAATGTATTTCATTCATTCATCTATGAAATCATCATATTAAATTACCTTTTACAGAAAGCATGAAAATGTTACAGTTAACAAGTGCCTCTAAATAGGTATCTAATAAAACGGACAATTAAACAAATGAGGCAAAAATATTGACCTTGAGTATGGGGATGATATTGTCTTACTGTGCAAGACTTGCAGGACCCTGATCCTGTACTTACAGTGGGTAGTGAGCAGATAGAGGTAGTTGAAAAATTCGTGTTTCTGAGTAGCTGCGTAGGTGCTGGTGGTGGCGTGAGTGATGAGATCAATTCACATACAGTGAAAGCCAAAGCGGCTTACGCCAATCTGGACCATCTTTGGAACCTTCATGATGTTAGTCTGTTTGTAAAAGGTCGGATCTACAATGCGTCGGTGAGAGCAGTTCTGCTCTATGCTTGTGAAAACTGGTCTCTTCGAGGTGAGGATGTTAGACGACTCTTTGTGTTTGATCATCGTTGTCTCCAAAGAATTGCCGACATACAGCGGCAATACCATGTTAGTAATGCAGAGGTTCGGTATTGTGTGTTCGGGCACAGAGACGACAATTCAGTCGGTGCCCCCAAATACCGGGAGCGGAGAGTCAGCTCTCCCTCTCGAAATGCTTTAACATAGCCACGTGCATTAAACCACAGCCACAGAAGTCCTACTCACTGCCTTCTCGTGGCATTTATGTTGTCTACGAATTTGGAAGGACGAAAACCGAATGTTCAGCACTGGCTTTAACAGGATTGGTGGATACGGAGAATCCATCAAGGGGGGTTGGAAAAACCAACTCCAAACCAATGGTGCACATGGGCTCCGGAATGAACAAATGGTTTATGAACCAATCGTTGGTGACCGGCTACCCTGGGACTGCATCTCCTTACGTTGATCCACTGCCTTGTGGATAAGACCTTCATGTCGAAGGCTCCGGGTGTGGACCCCTAGAGAAACCACCTGCCATCACACAAATCTAGTGATTTATGTGGTGCATATCCATTTGGTGCCTCCTTGTACCAATGCTTATGTGTATAAATAAATAAATTTTGGAACATCGACTTCGGTAGTCTAGACATGTTCTACGAATGTCGTCCCAGAGAATTCCACGTCGTGTATTATTTGCCGACACTGGAACTGGTTTGAAAATGCGGAGAGGTGATCAGTGTACGACATGTTGTCGCGGTATGAAAGAAAGCTGTACATGACTGGCTTCTATCGGTCCTTCACAACTACCTGCTTGGGGTCCTAGAGATAGTGTGACACAGTGGCTGGAGACGTCACCAGGTATGGCTTCGAACAGAAGCCAGTGGTGATCCTGCTGTAACTTTACTTTCTTCGTAAAAAAGGCGTAACTTCTTTAAGTGGAAGAATTCCCTGTGGCTGTACTTTTGCTGATTGACCTGTCTCTCTCATTTTGACTATTTAAATATCATACACCAAATTTTGTTCATTGTTGTACTTTTTTTTTCTTATACGGACTTTACATTCTTTATCTCTTCACATTCGCGTTATTATTGTGTGATGCATATGTATCTGATGCCCTTTTGAAACAATATGTGTTCAAATAAATAAATTTCCAAAGAAAACTAACTACAAGGAGAATTAAACGAAAGAAATAAAACATTATGTATAATAATGAATTAAAACACGGAACTAAGAGGATGAGAAGGAACTAGGTGATTTTCTGAGAGAAAAAAGTATCATCCAGCTACGACATACAGGCCAGATAAATGGTGAGATAAAACTCATACTACTGAGTATAATTAAATAGTATAGCTAAGACAAATAAAAAGTCATTGAAAAGACGAGAACACTTCATAAATCAAATGAATTCAATGTACCTACTTTAAATTGTTGTAAATTTGGAAAACTTACTTGGTTGGAATCATAATTTTGTAGATAAACTAACAAATGTTCATTGACAGGTAACATTGAAAGTGTTCTAGAATCTGTTAAAGAAAATGTTTGTAAAGAAGGTTTTCTGAAACGGTTGTCTTCATTTATTGATTTATCATTTGCAAAACAAAACAGAAAAAAACAATTCAATCTAAATAAATCACTTAAATTATTCTATTTAAGGATTGCTGTAATTTACATGGTGGAGTATGAAAGAAAAAGATTTTGATCAGAAGAAAACCTAAAGATAAATCATGTTGTGTAGTAGTAGTAGTCTAAGTAAAAGGTTAGTTGAAGTTAGACATTAACACCGTTGGATGCCGGCCGGTTCAGTGGTCTAATAGTCAAGCGTTTGCGTGCGAGATCGATAGGTCCCGGGTCTAAGTCTCGCGATGCGGAATCGTGGGTGTACGTTACTGAGGAGTCCTACAAAAGGACGGAACGACCGTCCAATGCTTCCAGGTTTTCCATGGTGGTCTAGCTTCGATTGACTCATAATCTCAACTATTAAAATAAGTAAAAGATCATTGAATATTTCAAAATATTTATCTGGTTGAATTTTAGATTATCCAGTATAACTTTGAGTAGAAATACTAATTACAAAAGATGATGGAAAGTAAAATGTAATATACATACCATGATGCCAATCTGTTACGTAGTCTAACAATGAATGATTCTTTTCATCTTTCATTAAACTCATAGATATAACAGAGTTGAGAACAGCTGAGAAAAAAAAACAATTTAAATAAACAAACGAAAAAGTGCAAAATAAATAACTGAGACAGAAGTAATGATGCATGAAAAAATCAACTTCACAGATAATACAGAGAATTATTGACCAACCAGTCAAAATCGAAGTACAATTATGTTCACTATTGGATCGACTGATGTGTGTTTATGCCGATAACAAATTGAAGTGCGAAGAGTAGGGTAATGGGATTAAAGAACAGTGAGGTAAATTCAAACAATTTATGATCAGTTTGATAGAGGGAAATTCAATTATTGTTATTTGTCAATCGGTTCGATTAATAGCAAAATATAGTTATTAGATGATTTATACATCACCGACTGACTTCGGATTAACAACATATTCGCCCCTAAGAGGTAAATTACCTTAGACAAAAACAATCACCTTAATAAACTTACTAAACCTTGGCAGTATTTAACAATTATTGTCATTCGAGAAATATCAATCAGTCAAATTCAATCCCTGAAGTTTGAATACAATACGATGTCTCCAACTATCTTATGAAATATCAAGAATTTACGATTGAGCAATGAAGAAAAGTCGACAACTATTTATTAAAAACAAACCATTAACTTATTTCATTTCATATTACAAGAAACTAAGAAACAATGTATCAATCAGTCGGTTACAGAGTAGAACCTGGTACGTATGTACATTGGTTCCAGTTGCCAGACCCTACTATTAGCACAGAGAGATTAAAATTGTCAGACCGAATCTCACAACACTAGAGGTAGTAACGGTGTCAGCGGTAATAGGAACGACTAGGGATAGAAGATACAATTCGAGAAGAAAATATAAATTAGTAAAATAAAATACAAAAGTAGGTTACGAAGAGGTTAGAATCTCAGAATTAGAGGATAAGAGAAAGAACCCATTTACCTGTGTCATTGCAAACCATTTTGAGCCATGTCATTTAAAGTCCCTACAAATTGTTTGGGAAAATCACATGGACCCCAACCACGTAATCTTTACCGATTAATATAACTCGATCTAATTGTCAATGAATTCATGTACTGGTGTCGTGTTTTGGTTTGACTGTCATTGACTTATTCCAGCCTACTCCTACGTCAGAAGATGTTACCAGTTGAGGTGAAAGGTAAAGGAGTACATGTAATTAATGTCTGAATCACCTTAGTTAGTGAAGATTTACTAGCTCTCCAATCGATTTCCCATCGTAACCTAGTACTCAAATGCTAACCCAATCCACTGCTTAATTTGTGGTCCCAAAATACACGAGCGATGCTTCGAAAACACCATTGATCGAATACTACTAACCTACAAATATTCTCTATTATTAATGGCCATGCTTCACAACAATAAATTAGAACTAAACCATCAGGACTGATGACACTCACAAGATAAACGTTCCGGTCAACACGCCCAACTATTTATCACGCTATTTGTTAACTCAGACTCTGACGAAAGCCACTCTTGAAGCAACATTTTATGTTTAGAAGGAGAAAGCAGCACAACAAACACGCTCGCATTGTTGCTGAAATTGTTACAAAATGCTTTCGCTCTTCTTTATAGCCTGGAATGATCAATGGTCGAGACCAGTCAGATGGGACTACGTCCAGTTCCCAGATTTAAGCTAGAATCTTAGTTAATCTAACTGCTAAGACTAGACGAAGAACTTTCCTTGCCGTGGCATTTATACATTCAGTAAGTCGCAGATAAATACGTGCTCGAACTAAGGTATAATCCGAGCATCAATATGTGCTGTAGAATGACCGACAGTCATCCTTTTATAGAAATGAACGTTTATCTAATCATAGTTGCAGCAGACGGTCATCATTATCTGTCTGTTGAGCTGCAACAATGCAACATCCGTCTAAGTGCCTTTCGGTTTGGTTTAGCCTACCTAATTAATCATTAAAATCACCCGTCACTATTACTACATCGGAACGTTCAGCTTTTTGATGGAGGTTGGATAACTTCCTGTAGAATTCATCTTCAATTTCATCCGAGCTGCAGTCAGTGAGAGAACATGCAGAGAAAACGAAAAAACAACGGCGTGTGTCCCTATCTTTTCGAGTTCTTACTAACCTGTTTAGTCAGACGGCGCACAAGTAACTGTTTACTGGAATCTAGTCTGACAAAGCCTGTTCTGATTTTGAACTTAATGCTATACCTACATCAGATATAGCACAGGAAGTAGCCATGGGGTCTCCAGATACTTATATTAAAAGCTCCAAAAATGGTTTTAGGAGAAAAGGAATAACAAACAATTTTTACCAGATATCTATCCATTAGTTAGAAGTCAAACAAGGGGACAGATCCTCAAAATAGATTTTACTAGTCAATGCAAATCTACTTTGAAGCAAATGGTATCGTTTACTTTAACTATCGTCACTAAGATAATTATCTGACTGAAAGAAATTTTAGTCAAACAAATTGGCTGAAAAAAAAACAATATCATGTTTATTCATTTGTCAATTGCTGAAATCGAAAATGTCATATTTTTTCTTTGTTGAATACTAACCAACCTATCAGTGATCATCAACAAAGTATCCGGCACGAATATTCATCGACCGAAGTCACCGTCCATCGCATCAGCTCAATGATATGAAATCAGCAAGGTATGCAACAAATAAATCGTAATAATAGTAATACCTATGACTACGGAAAAGAATAGGCATAGGGAATATAGTTCGCAAATAGGGAGTAATTTTCCGGAATACAAAGTATGAAATAGTACTACAAACTAGGATTTAAATGACCTTGACCCGTGTCATCCAACGTTTTAGGCCATAGAACACGACTATTACGCCGATCTGAATCACTGATTTTACATTCACTGGCATGTACCAGACCAGCGGTAAACGACTACGCTTATTTTTGTTATTTATCGGCTGACTAAACCCTCGTAAAAATTGCACATCAACGTAGATCATGATCACTTTTCGATTCTGTTGAAAAACAACCTTGAATTTAGACTAAACTGAAAGCAAAAGTAACCGGTTAAAACTTTACACTATTCTTACAGACAAACAGGAATCTAATAATAAGTAATTGCTAACCTTCAGCAGCTTGTTGTTTGGAAGTATTTATTTCATTTGTTACTTCTGTTTTATTTAGCGATTCCGTCGTAGAATGAAATCGTTGAAACTTTTCACGGATTGAATTCATTAGATTAAATGGTTTTTCTGTGTGAATAGTGTTAATATGTGGAAACTGAAATGAAGAGTATTTACATAAAACGATGATAAGATAACGCTTATTGGAGTTATATATCTGTAAATCATCAATAAAAAAAGTACTTAGTGTATATGATAATGTTTTTTTCACTGGGGGGTAAGCACAGTTTATTTACGACATTCGTAAGAAGTACATGGTGACAATGTGGTTTGATACTGACCCAAATGAAAGACAAATTTATTCTGTATGAAGTAAATATTTTACTGAAAGTCAAATGTGATAATTTGACTAGTTGTAATCAAGTAAAAATGAGTAGATACCAATGGAATAGTACTGTGAAAAGACTGAAATGACTATTCCTTTGGCTATAATAAACGCAGAATAAATTTTTGATTGTCCATATGACTATTCAGAATCTGCCATAATTAGAGTTAAATTACAAACAGTTCGACCACAAATACATTAAATTTGATAGAGAGTAACAGCTTCTCCAACCTTTCGGATAAACCTTGTAGATAAATAGTAACTAACATGATACTCAGGTCCAGGACTTATGATCGTTCACTTCCAACTATCTGGTATCCAAGTAATGCAGGAAGATATAAGAATATCTATACTGATTTAAATGTATCCTATACTCAAATATACACGAAAAATGAACAATTGTAAAGATGTACATCATTTGTTTTGAATGAAACACTGTTTTCAATTAATAATAAAGAGATTTACTTATTCATGATACAGATCTAAATACACAACACATAGAAACTGTTGTGACTTTATGTCCGGCTTTTTATCACATGATTTATCCACCAATCAAAATACGATTTATAAAATCTTAGCACTGTGCCAAACCAATGACGTTCGACCGGTATGTGCAGTTTTGCGTCCTGATTGTTCTTATGTCCGCCTAGCCCGTCCACTTGAGTCCAGAACAACAATACCAGCTTCCAATATGTGAATCGAATCTGATCATTTATTTCAGACATACTGGGTTTATATATCAAACAAACAGACCGCAATGCACCATAAAATAGGAAATAACATTTGAACACAATAAAGCCAAAAAGTGACTGTGAACGTGGGAGGCAGTAGTCAATAAACTGAACATAGCTTAAAAATAGTAAATCGTACGATAATAAATTATAGGTCAAAATAAAGGTTATAATAAGAGGAATATATATATATACATAATCTAATTATTGAATAGTTATACCATAAGAATGTATAGATAATATTAGTCAATTAATATGTCTCAGAAGTTACTCGTGATTTAATCTTCGCTCGGATATAACAGAAACCATGTCAATTGAAGAATAAAATCTTAGCCAATTACGATTCAAGAACATATACCATCAAGAATTTAGTCAGTAATAAGATCAAAGAAAACATCTATAAACTATTTTTCTGTCATATCTAAGATTATCAAGGCAAAGAGTGTATACACCGACGCCATTGTGATCGATTCTGAGCCATGTCACACAGAATCTAAGACCACTGGTTACGATGGTCACGCGGACCCCGACCGAGTAGTCTGCGTCTACCAGCATGGTTCAGACTAGAAGTTAGTGAATTCAAGCACTGATGCCACGTTTTGGTTTGGCCGCCCCTAACTTTCTTCTATCATGCAAAGAAACTCGACTGAATAAACAAAATCAAATACATTTATTTAAATAATGAGCAACAATATTAAAGTTTCAGATCCGCAATACCATACTGCTGATTGGACAAAAATATGATAGCATCATCAATCAAACACCATTAAATCTAGATTACCCTATTTTTTTGCTAGAAAGACTTGAAAAGCCATATCCCACCGTACAAATGACTTTTTTCTGTTAGGAAACGGAATAAAGTTTTAAAATCTAAAACAATCAAATCAGGACAGTTTTAAAGTAAACACTACTTGAGCTTTTGCTACTGACTACAGTCAGAAATTGACCACCAATTAAAATGTAATTCCTGTAATACCACTATCAATCATTTTATTCAACATATGATTATTAATGTATAACATTGTAGTAGTAATATTTTGAGATGGTGGAGAAGATTTGTAGCTTATGTGGATGATTTTGATGGAGTTTTATTCTGTGAGATGGATGGTTTGGTCGTAGAGCTTTCATTGTTCGTCCGAATGAGATCATCAGCACAAACTTCAGGTGGAAGTGAAGTGTTCGAATTTCTCCACCTGTGGTTCACAGTTTGTCCTGTACACCTCGATTTTGACCAACAAGAACCAATCAACAGGTGGAGAAATTCGAACACTTCACTTCTACCTGAAGTTTGTGCTGATGATCTCATTCGGACGAACAATGAAAGCTCTACGACCAAACCATCCATCTCACAGAGTAAAACTCCATCAAAATAGTAATATTCATATAGTTGTGCCATCATTTTCAACCTAAATGTATGTAATCAACCATAAATATAATATTTCTTCATGAAACCTTCGTTTTGTAAGCAATAAAACAGTAGACTAATCTGAATAAAAGACAAAACATTAATACTAATGTATTACACAATAAATAAGAATTTAAACACTTAACAAATTCAATTACACATGTAACAAACGGATCTATAGAAATGTTTACTGAATATTTACACTTTCCTTGCATATCTATTCCAATGGAAAAGACACAATATCACTGTCGGACCAAAGGAACAACAAATGAATCAACCAAAAGAGTTAAGCAAAGGTTATAAAATCAAGTAATAATTGAATAGAGAATGGTTAATATGAATAATAAGTGAAACAGTGATGCGGAATCATAAGATATTATAGAGTAATAGTATCAACGTGAATATCATTGACTTGAACCCATGTTACCTCGCTGATTCTTAAACTTTAAACGGTTTCGAATATTGCGCCTGTCTATTTCCGACCGACAAACCATTACTTAATCATAGTTAAGTGATATGCTTTATTCATCCCACTACTTATCAACCAAATAATGACCCTGAAAACTGTTAGAGTAATTAATAATCGACATCTAAATATGTTACAAGCCAAAACTATTTTATGTCAAAAGTCACATATTCCATAAAACGGAGATTCGTCTCATTAACTTTGGTAAAAAACATCTAGTACTTACTTCAGAATTAATACTAGTTGGATTCATTTTATTAACAACTTCTTCATATGAAGGCGGTCTACAGTAAATATCTAAATGGAAAGAAAATATTTTAAAACATAACCGATAACAGAGCAAATGCAAAAAGAACTATATGTCTTTTTTAATATCTATGTTAGCAGAACGAGATTACCTCTTTAGAGTCCGCATGATAGCCAAGATCAGTAGTTGAATGTTTGGGTAATATGGCACAGAGTTGTTCACGATGGGTCAGACGTATTTACTATTTGTTTCCCCTTTAATCCTGAATTCCAGTATTTTTTATAGGAAGCTTTCCACTTACACATGACAAGTAACCACGTTATCTCGATGAGTGTAGCATAAAGATAGGTTAGAAGAAGGCTAGTTGCGACCAAAGTAAAACGTGTCACCAGCCATCAAGTGATTGATTATAAGTATGAACCGTGTTAGTAAGTCCAACTACATAGTTGGGGTCCGCACAATAATTGCAACCTGTGATTCAAGACATCACATGACATACCTCAAAATCGTCAATAATTGAGCAGAAGTAAACAATTTTTGTTCTCCTTTAGACCTTCAGTTACAAAACTATTTCATACCTTCTGTTTTATGAATTATTCCTTCCACCCAATTCATATCCTCTAAGTTTAATCTTTTTTACTATCATTGATACTACATTGGAAGTTGGTTAGTTTAAATTATATTTACGAAACAGCAGTTTTTAGATTCAATACATTTACTTATATTTTGAACATTGAGAATAGTATCATCAACCCTAATATAACAAGTGTACCTATTAGCTGAATAAACAAATCTCTACACATTTATAATATTAAAATTACTGTTTTTTTGGTGTGAGCTACTTATATCCAGTATAACGATAATCAAGAATAGAATGTATTTCAATAGAAGATTGAGAAGGAAAAGATGGGAACAGAAAACAATTGGTCTAAAAATGCACAAACAATGAAATCTGAGATGATGAACAGATACTCGCAAAAGGAACAGTCAAGTTTGAAACAATTGATGAACTGTTTACAAATGAAGCATTTACTAAGATGTTCTGTAATTTTATATGCTCACATACATTTGATTGGCTTCATTCATGTTCTTGTCAATATGATTAGAGAATAACTCTAAAGGTTATTATATGCATATTATAAAATGAAGATAGATAGATGTTGTGTTTTCTTACCTGTTGTATCAACTGATTTTAAAGAACCATTCAATAATTTCTTGGATTTTGACACTTTAATTTGTTGACAATAATGTTTTAATACATGTGATTTTAAACTAATTCTAGCTGTTCCAGGATGTAATAATATAGCTAAAATTGGTATTATCAAACGATCTATTTGACCAGTTCTTAAAGCTTTCTCTATCCATAGAATAGATTGTTCTCTTAGTATAGAATTTCCATAATTAATTGAATGATCAATTTGATGAAATTCTTCATTGTTATTCACATTTTGATTATTTTTATTTATTTGTCTTTTATTGACATTTAGATTCAATTGTGATAGACTTGTTAAACCAATTGACCTAATTGGACCCAATGGATTATCATAATCTAAATTATCCAATAAGAGTAATGTACATCTATTGATTATTTGATGAGGATCATGATGAAGACGAACAAATGAAGAGAATATGAAAGTAAGAAAACAGAGAAAACAAAACAAAAACAAACAAGTTACACAACTCTAAATAACAATCAACTATTAAATTTTAATAATCATCAATAGAAGGTTATACACAACTAAAGAAACAATTGGTTCATCTATGAAAACATGTTCTTACAGTAACATACATACATTTTGTTTATTTTATCATCTCTGACAACCTATATAGATATGTATGATTTGTTTCGTTAAATGTTTAATATTACTTAATTGTCAAGTACAGGTTATCTGATAATAGGTTTTGAATCACATGCTTCTGTGTATAATAACTAGAAATATTGATCAACTACTGATAGTGAAATGAAGATAATTGAAGCGAATGTATGAGAATTGGAACCTGAAACTAACTGACTCGAGTTCATCCATACTAACCACTAATCTGTAACAACATAATAAATGCAGTAGCTGATAAGGTGTGAATGATTGATTCACTCTTGAGTACTGTTAGAGGTATGCGGGCGGTTATCACTTCCCGGTTGTCCACACTGTGGAAGGGTTCTTCTGGAGGTACCTGAAAAGGAAATTGGATTAGAGGTGGTATTAGTGACTTGAGATCGTGACTGCAGTGCCCAAGGAACAACTGTTTGAGGCCGGTTACAAACGACCGTTTTGTGAGAAATTTTCGTGTTAGCTTCGTACTTGTTGAGACCTTACCTTCAGAGACGGATATCCGTGCGATAAGTTGGGGGTGTGCATTTTTAGGGTCGACCTTACTTAACTCTACCCCTTCTCGTGGGAAGGCAGCATCTCTGTCATGCTGGTTGTCTGAAGGAAACACCTTACTGTTGTCACACTTCTGTACAGTCGGCGGTAAGACTTCGCCTTCGGACCTTGGGTTTGTTGCTCTTAGTCTTACCTCTTTTCACCCGACCTGTATGGTATGGTAGGACATTGAAGAACGATTGTTCCAGCTAATATAGCTCGATTGGTTCATCACAGCCCGACCACCACGTTAAGGTAGCAACAACGGTCAGGCGATGATTGATTAACTGACAGTAGCATCAAAAAGTGATAACCTTGATTAAATTGGTCAGAAAAATCTTGAAATTTAGTAAACGTTATCGAATTGTAAGCAAAAGTGAACTAAATTTTTACGAAATATTTCATATAGCGTTAAAAGTCTAACTGAAGATCATGGAAGGTTCATGATAAATTATAATGAATGGAAAATCTACGAGATCGCGTCAAAAAACTTCCGGAATGTGTGGCTAAATATAATTTAGACAACATTTCTGATGTGAGATATTTCGTTCATACTACTGGATAAATAGTTATTAGAATAGTTTTGATATACAATACATAAAATCATAGATCAATAACAAACCAAAATAAATCCAAAGTACAGTACAAAGTACAATTTTATAGGTCAGAAATGGAATATAATTCCGCCCGAAGCCTTACTGGGGCTCCTGACAGTCCCAACCCAAGATAAAGGAGGGTTGAGCATGAGGTTGGAGACCCTATTCCGTAGAAAATTAAATCGCTAAAAAACGCTAACCAGAAAAAAATAATTCAAATCATTTAGACTCTGACCTGGGAGTAAGGTTATCATTTAGAAGAGTTATGACGCCTTATGGTGAAAGCCGAGTTCAGAAGTCACGAGGCTTATGCCCCTTCTGACAACCAGAACAACTATTAATTTAGGTACATGGAATGCTCGGTTGCCTCTGTTCAATCAGGAGTAACAGCCGTAAGTAAGATGAAATATGCCTGTTGAAATCAAAGTCGAACAGGGTTAACAATCCAAAACTTCTAACACAACTTCATACACATAAACAATTGACTTACATGAAAAATAGTAATAGCTAGCCAAATGGAATAGCTTGAAAAGACAAGAATTTTTTTGAGTACTTAAATTCAATTTCGATCACTGATGTATCTCAATAGACACAACAAAGAATCTAGTGACATAATTTGTCGACAATCAGATACATAGGTATGTGAAAATCTAATATAAGATATTAGGCTAGTATAAATGGGCATAATAACTAAAATTACACAAGTCATATCAGATGATCGAGCCAGTCCCATCGACTGAGAGGAAACTTATATACTCAAAATGCAATAACATCGATAAAATAGATAAAGCTATAGGGATCGAGATGAAAACCAACAAAAACTAAGCTTACCTATAGAAAGGAATATCATACAAACCTGAACCAGGAGATGATAAATCACTGTTGCCAACTTTGTCTCCAGTCAAACCAAGAAATGCACGCCTCCATGATACAGCCGCTATGAAATTGGATACACCACTTAGTCTAAAAGAATCATGAACTGAAGAATGTAATGATCGTTTAGTAACCGAAAACTGATGAACTGAAGTATTAGTTGAAGTGTTTGTCAATGGATGAATATTTGATTGAACACGTGATCCATAGTATCTCAATAAATGCCACAGTAAAATAAAGCGTGAATGTGCATCTATTTTAATATCTAAATCAGATGAAAGCATTTGAGAGAGAATGAAGCCTTCAATACAAGAACTGATAGTAGATGTGCTTCCTGATATCCTGGGAGTTAATTGACAAGCAAGAGATTTCGGCAATGGAGGAGCTAATTGATGTAGACGAACAAGTAAACTTGTTGCATCATCATGATAAGTAGAATATTCTGGTGATAGATAACGCCATAATGAAACACCCAAGTACTAAATTGAAATAAACAAATGAACGAGTTATTTCATACATACGTAAATTATGGTAGTTTGATTAGACCTATATAAATTCCATAATTAACAATCCAATTTTTACCACTTACGAAATCTTATAAATATACATAAACATATGATTAATTAAATTCTTTAAACTAGTGTAAACTGTTAAGTTTAAGTGACTAAGAAACAATACTATTGGGTTGCAAGTACATTTAATCAGTGTATTGTATGTTCTGGATCCTATTACTATTCAACAACAAATTGAAATAGAACTAATCACAAAATGATCTTTTGGAGAATCACTAGAAACTTTGAGGATTGTTTTTTAGTAAGCTATAATTCTAGTTGTGAAGAACTTTAAAGTTGGCCATATCAAATCCCTTGCTGAACTGTCTACAATAGAGTTACTGCTGCTCATTGCGTGTCTTTTTTTTTTTACCAAAAAAGGTAATTCATATTGAATAAAGTAATTACAAAAACTAGTTTAGAATAATATCAATTCATTTCGTCTCGTAGTTGCTCATCAGGTGTCAGTCACTCAATGAACTATAACGTAGGACCAGGTACATATATGCATCGGTCCAAGTTACCATGCCTCATTATTACAATAACATGAACACCAAATTCATAGAAGTAGTCACTTCAATGGTAGTAATATATAAAAGAAAGATTATGTATAAGGATATAGTACAGCAAGGAAGAATTAGTTTGTAGAAAGTAAGGTATAAAGCGACTTTAATCGCACGGTTTAAGGCAAGACAAAGAGTGTATACACCGAAGCCATTGTGATCGATTTTTAGCCATGTCACACAGAGTCTATAGCCATTGGTTACGATGGTCACACGGACCCCAACCGAGTAGTCTCCATCTACCAGTATGGTTTAGACTAGGATTTAGTGACTTCGAGGATTGATGCCACGTTTTAGTTTGGCCACTCCTAACATTCTTCCAACCGTCTCCAACACTAGTCAGCATTGCGCGTCGTGATAATCGGTGTTCAGGTATACGTAACACGTGTCCCAACCATCTCAGTCGATTAATATTCACAACTTCAGCTGATCTAACATCATTCCCTAATACATTGCGTCTAGCATCACTATTACTTGTCCAGTGATCCCAGCAGATACTGGCAACATTTCTAAGACATCTGTGATCAAATACTGGTAACTTAGGGGTATTTTCTACTCTTAATGGCCACGTTTCGTAGTCGTAAAGTAGAACGTCTCATCAGGTGTATACGAACACGCTCAAATTGGAGATGTTTCGTGATTGCATTGCTTAGTGTCTTTGTTTTCCTTGTCCTGAGGCTTTTTGGAACATGTTCAAAAAATCTAAAATATGCCCTTCTTTCCGTTAGACTTATGTAGATGCTTTGGCAGACACACGTAAATTTATAAATATGGTTGGCGATAACAATGAAAGGGTTGCTAGTCAAATTTTTTCTACATACTCTTATTACATTGTTTACTTCAAATTCCAAATACTTTTTAAGTATATCACTTATTCTTGATAATGTAACATGAAGGGAATTATGGAAGTTTAAATTATATCCCGTCTGCTTAGTGTCTATGTATTAGGATAGGATAAAGTTGTGTTTTTTTCTGAGTACTTTTTCCCAAGTAAATGTGAATAAATTAACTATGTCATGAGTATGGAAATCGATAACTGAATATGCTGATTCATTCTTAGAGATATATACTTCAAACATTTTATTTTAGTACCAGAAGGGGCTTTGTGGAGATTTTAGTAATTTCAATAGTTGAGATGATGAGTCAATCGAAGCTAGATCACCATGGAAAACCTGGAAGCATTGGACGGCCGTTTCGTTCTATTGTGGGACTTTTCAGCAGTGCGCATCCACGATGCCGACCCGCGGAATTCCAACCCAAGACCTATCAGTATCGCGCGTGAGCGCTTAACCACTGAGCTGGCCGGCATTCAACGGTGTTAATGTCTAACTTCAATTACTCCACGAAATTGAGCGACAGATCCACCATTGTCATCATCTCACAACAGACCCGGTTGAACTATTGAAATATTTTATTTTCACCTAAAAATGGAGGTAATTACTGAAATTTTAATAAGAAGATATGAATAATGGAGTTCAAACATCGAGTGCGTAATAAAAATCACTAGTATTATTGGATACCAGTCCTACAATAATCCAAATAGACTGAAATTAAAAATATAAGTCATTGGATACCAATTCAATGATTTAAAAATTAAAGCCTCACTCTGAGGATTTAAGGTTCCGATTTCAACTATCGATGAGATGATCATCGATAAATACTGATGAAAGTTTTTACATTAACACAAAACAGATGTTCACTGCTTACTGTTTTTTTACAGCTTATCTCACAAAGATTAATCTGTGATGTAAAATTAAAAAGACAATTCAGTTAATCAATCATATACTTATCATTATAATAAACTTTAGGCTATCAGCTTAAGCTAATAACGTTACTTCAATATCACGAAAACATTGAACACGACAGAATTTGAACTCAAGACATCAAATGATCAATAAAATTTATTAACATATAGTTTGCTTACATACCGTGAATAAATTTGTCTTTTGAGAAAGATATGACATCAACTCTCCACTTAGTACAGGAAATACTAAACGCATTCCACGATTTGCTTCATGTTTATCATCTACGGGAACTACTTTATCACCATTCTCATTATTGTTTCCTGGCTGGATCTGTCCAGCACTATTATCATTAGTGGTAGTAGTAGTATTGATGTCATTAGAATAATACTTCAATTCTGTACTCCAACCGTGAATAGAAACAGCTGCATGAAATAATTCAATCAGTGTATACAAAGCAATTGACTTAATATTGAAATTATCTAGATCACATGATGCATACAATAAACAAACAAGCCATTGTGGTAGAATGAAACGACCTGGTAAAAGAAAGAAATAATAACAATAATATACAATTGATATTTTAAATAAAAGTGAAACAAAAACGTAGCAACAAGAGAAGTGATTGTGATTAAAGATGAGAGAGAATAAGGATTGAATTCAGGTTAAATAATCAGTAATTGGTAACAATAAAAGTGACGTAGGCAATTACTGTGACAGATATATGATGCATTCATAGCTACATATATGCACAGCATGTACATGATTACATTTCTAAGAAAGATGAAAAGGGGGAAATACGGAGTGCAAAGATAAGATGAATGAATGTTCACATGTTTGAATCGATAATGATTAACTAACCTGTAGATATTAAGATAATTAGACCTAAATCCTAATCAATATGTTACATAGAAATTTTATCAGTCAATTGTATTTGGATGTTATCTTAGTCGAGACAACCGACAGTAAACCATGTAGGACATAATTTTCATCCTAATTAGTATTTACTTACAAAAGATGTTTAAACATTCTGAAGGAGCTACTGATACTTGAATCCGCGTTATCAACTCTCAGTCATACAAATTAACACAAAGATATTTCGGTCACGAATATCCCACCTCTATAGAATTGAGATACTAAACAAACATGGCATCAGTCACTAATGTTCAATGATCAATCGATGTAAAATTAAGATTTGTTAAAATCACACTACGAAATCGTATATTCCAAATGATATCTAATAAATACTGAGGATACGAAAATAAACTTCAGATAAGATTATATGATTGAAAATATGATCAAACAAACACAGGAGATGATGATGGTGGTGGTGCAAGAAAACATCGCAAATACATAAATCACTGAACTTGATATACAGAATCAGTTAGATACAAAATGAAAATCAGAAAAAGCATGAATGAGTGATAAAAAGATCTTTGATGAGACTATAATTTATGGACGACCTTTGAGCATGTCCACCTACCAACTAGGACTAAATGAAGGTTATGAAGAAGTGTAGGGAATTAGAATTATGATTTGCAGTTGATGATTAGGGTTAGGAATTAGATTTAGGGTTTCCATTTCTAACTAACATCAGATATAATGCTGAAATAGTATTTAGCCAAATGTGTGGATAAATTGCACACTAAAATCCGAGACTTGTAATCTAAAAACTGATTGGTTCGTCCATAAATTATAGTCTCGTCAAATATTTCATTGAAAAAAACACTGTTAGCTGACAAAAGGAGGAAAAAAGTATCATCAAACCGATGCTATTTTTGAAAAATACTTAGTGCTAAATTTATTAAAAAACGATTGGTATAATGAGTTAATCAAGTACAATAATACACACACGCGGATCCAATCTAGCACACACATTAAAAAAGAGTAACGCGGTTTTAAGATCAAATCAATTACCCAAACTGTAATGAAAATAACAATGATAATTGTTTAATACAGGCTGCTGCGAACCAGCGGTAAAGTTCTTTTTTAAAGAACCTATATAAATGAGGTATACATAAAACAATAATAAATGTACCAAGTTGTTGTAAAGAAAAATATTTTTAGTTATCAAAGTGAAATACAGAACAATACATTACAAAATGTTAAAGAAAAAAGACCAGTGAATCAAATGATACTCACTAAATTTGTGGAATAAAAAATCAATGCACTGAAGAAAATTAGCATTCCTTCTCTACGAGATACTGTTTCAAGTCATTGAGTTCACCTAGGGGAGTTGGAAAACCCTGATTCCAAACCAATGGTGCACATAGGTTCCAGTATCCTGAAGCAACAAATGACATATGAATCAATCGTTGGTGACTGGCTACCACGGGACTACATTTCCTGACGTTGTTCCACTGCCTTGTTGACCAGACCTTTAGGTCAAAGGCTCCGGTGTGTGGCTCCCTAAGAAAACCATCTGATTCGGTTTGGGTACCAAGGCAGTAAACCAGCCCTCACACAAATCAAACTCTTTATGTGGTGCATATGTATTTGGTGCCTCCTTGTACCAATGTTTATGCATTTTAAAAAAATAAATCACAGCGCTATAACATTCTACAGGCAGTAAGTATTCCATAGCATAGAAATCTATGCAACAAAAAGCCTAAAACATGATTAGCCTACCTAAGTCTGTTTCAAGATGACGAGAGTTTGAGAAATACTAAACTATGCCCGAAATCAAGATAACTTATATAATATTGCTGTTGAATACCAACAATGCTTATAAGGTAAGACAATGGAACATACAGAGAGTCGAAGGAAATAATCATTACGGAAAAGTCAGATGGCTTACATGACATTATACACATAAGCAGTATGACTTCCATTTATGGAGAACTACAGTTAAAAACTACGTTGAAATTAATGACCACCTTCTATTGAGTTTTTTTTAAAAGTTACCCAAATTATTTCAGTTTATAAAAATATAAAGGTGAATGGTAGAAAGATGTTAGGAAAACTTACCGAATGAGGAAAGAATAAAAATAAATAAATAAATATCATAAAATATCACATACTATTTTACAGTATTCGAATAGAAATCAACGAAAAGCGTAAAATACAACAGAAGTGTACAGATACAATCGATCAGTCAGTCAATCAGTCAACAACAGAACTTCATACATACGTACGTACATCAGTTCAAGTCGCCATGCCACACTAGCATAGAGATACAGATATAAGATAAATATGGATGAATTAATATATTTAATGTTAGATGTAATATAAGAACTGAATTTAACTGTAGTATTGTCATATCACTATCATCAGTATAACCTTGTAGAAAACATTAACCACAAAAACTATACAATAATATACCTGTAATACGATTATTTATACTCTGAATAAACAATTTACATTACGACAGGAAATGTCAGAAAAAACTGACATTTTTCTATCTATTAAGACATTAATATTAACATTATTCTGTCATTTTATTTATGCAAACACATGAACATTGATACAATGAGGCACCAAAACAGATATGCGCTACATAAATCATTTAATTTATGTGAGGGCTGAGATACTGTCCATGGTAACCGGTGACCAACGATTTGTTCCTTTAGTATACTGCAGCCCATGTACACCATTGGTTTGGAATCACGGTTTTCCAACTTTCCTAGGTGGATTCTCCGTGTCCACCAACCTGGTTAAAGCCGGTGCCAGATATTCGCTTTTTGTTCTCTCGACTTCGTCAATAACGACCCCGCCACAAAAAGTCAGTGAGTAAAACTTCCCAGACAGTGGTTGTATGCACGTGACTATGTGAGAGCATTTGGAGAGGGAGAGCTGACTCTTTCTCACTCTCGACTGTACCAGGGCGTTTGGGGCTATTGTGTCAGTAAAAAGGACTCATGAAAAGTTTTTATTTATTTTGGCATTATAAAACCAAATCTTGATTATGATACATGAAGAACACAGTAAAAAAAACTTAAATGAACAAACAATAAAACTCACAAGTTAATTTACAATGAAAACTCTTCCACTTTCATCTATTTTGACTATTATCAAAGAAATTATTCGTGCATTTAAGATATCATAACATATACTTAACTAAAATCAAGCTTCTTTAAATCCGGTGTTCGTCTTGCTGTGCTAATGAGATATGGCAACTTAGACTGATGCATATACGTGCCTACGTTGTAACTGACTGAGAATCAAACCAGATATACATCACAACACTCAGATTTAAAAAAAAGAAGAAATGCAGCCTAAAACTGAGTACATAAATGGTACATATAAATGGCAAAAAGAATTACATTCTAATATCTGGAAACAATTTTCCTAGTATGTAGTTCATTTAGTATCTTTGCTATACTAGCAGAAAAAACCCAATCAATAATAACTAGTCTTTTAATCTTAAACACATAAATATTGGTATCAGGAGGCAGCAAATATATATGCACCACATAAATTATTCGATTTGTGTGAGGACTGGGATACTGCCCGGGTGTTCATACCTTGGGGAGGTCTCACAGTCTTTTAACATTAAACACCAGAAAACATTACATGTCGGCAGAAAAAATCTTTATAATATAAAGAAAATTGTTTATTACAATCTAGCTGAATGTGACACAATTCTAGTTAATATATTACTAAAATATGTATAGCATACAATAGAATTAATGTACAGAAACTCATTGCGATCTCGTTCAGAATTTTGAAAAAGTACAAAAAAGTATTTTTACAAAAATAGAAAAAATCATTGATACATCGAATTTCGAGTCAATCCGAACAATTTGTTGAGTCGGCTTTCGGAAAACTTCAACGGAGCCTCCAGAGGCCCAAAAGGAACCGAAGGGTCCTAGCCAATCAGGGCACGATGGAGCATTCTAGAATTCCAACGTAGCGTGCTACTATTGGTCAGTAGCATAACATGTCGTTAACGGATTGGCTGAAACATGATGTTGATTTAACAAACGTTAACATCTATAAATACCTATGCTTTCTGTACAACAATGAACCTTGGAGTATTTTCTCTCATACTTGTGTCTTCTCTCTAGTGTTCAAGTCACTGTGTAGTTCTAGCGTGCGGGTCATCGGAATAGCTTAGCAAATAAATATAGCGTTCAATCGACAAGACTTATCACAATTGTACAACGTCATAGATCAGATTATCAATAGATATAGCAAGAGAAAAAGTAACTCAAAACAAAAATCTCCAGTACCATCCAGCAAAGAGGGGGAATAAAGTTGAAAAAATAAAAATAAATAACCATTTAACAAACACAAAGATATCATTGATTAAGCAAGCGTAAATATAAGCTGTTAAAACTCCGATTTCTACAAATATTCAGAATTGGACAACTGCAAACTATCTTAAACAAATGTGAGGTAATTAGTACACATTTGAACTAAGTCAACATTTACATTTGTTCATGTAATATAGATCTTAAAATAAAGGTTGTAATGTAAGACAAAACGAATACATTACTTATTGACTTTTATAAAGACAATGCTTTGGAGAGAAATGAATAATAAATCAGAATGATTGTTTATTTAGCACGATTAGAATATATTGTAATAATTAATAATAATAATAATAATAATAATAATAATAATAATAATAATAATAATAATAAGTGATAGACTACAAAAATCAAAACGCTTTTAACGAAATTGATAAAGGACACATGATAGAAAGAAAAAATTATGAACGCCTTCTAAATAAACAAACAACTATACAATATTTCTATTTATAATTACATCAGAAAAGGGTTTCTTGTGGATATTATAGTAATTTGAATAGTTGAGATAATGAGTCAATTGAAGCTAGACCATCATGGAAAACCTGAAAGCGCTGAACGACCGTTTCGTTTTATTTTGGGACTCCTCAGTAGTGCAGATCCACGATCGCAGCTCGCGAGATTCGAACCCGGAACCTAACAGTCTCTCACGCGAGCGGTTAACCTCTAGATCAATGAGCCGGCATCCAACGGTGTTAATGTCTAACTTCAACTAATCCACGAAATTGAGCGATACAAGTTTACCATGGAGCAACATTATGATTATCATTGAAGTTAATAAGTAAGAAGAAGAAGACATGCACAATACTAATCCGAATGACAATTACAAAGAGAGCATATGATTTCCTTTTCATTCAATTTAAAATCATGTTTTTGACTGGTAAATCATTGAAAAACATTTCATTTCCCACTAATGTTTTATTCTTCATAAATGTTGGTAATTACACAAATATCCATCTCCCAACTAAAGGACAGGTTTATTACACTACACAGAAGTTAACTTCGTTCTACTTTATTGGTGTGAAGCATGGTTATTTAAAATAGATGATATTCGTAGGTTAATACTATTCAACAAAATGGTGTCTTCGAAGCATCGCTTGTGTATTTTGGGACCACAGAGTAAGTGACGGCCTTGATTAGCAATCGTGCAAAAGGTAAAGATAGTAAACCGATTGACATGGTAGTAAATCTTCATCAACTGAGGTGGTTGGAATATATGTTACGTGTTTGCCAACCGCCTACGTCGACGGACAATGTTGTTTAGTGTAGGTGTATTAGGTTTGAAGAAAGCTAATGTCAGCCAAACCAAAACACGGCACTAGTCCATGAAGTTATTGAAAACTGAACTAAGCCATACTAACACGGATCGATGAGAATGTCGTAACGAATACTTAGAAACTTTGAACATGACTCGAAATCGTTAGCAATGGCACAGGTCCATCGACTCTATCTTCCCCTAGACTTGAAGTTCCTAATTTCCTCACAATCCCTTCATTTTACTTATTTATATTTCCGTGAATTGTATCTTTGATGTCTAGTCATTCTTATTACCACTTACACTGTTACTACCTCTACTATTCTAGTATTTAGCTTGACAATTTCATCTCTATGTAGTGATGGGTTATGGAAACTTCAACGCATTTTCACATGTACCAGGTTCTACGTTGCGTCTGATTGATTGATAGGCGGATACTACGCTAAACAGAAATTTTCCAAATGATATGTTCACAAGCTTGGCCAAACAAACGGATTTCATTACTAAGAAATGAAGTAGACCAAGTTAGTTATATAATTTCTAAATAAAACAACGAATAATATTTACTTTCTATGTAGTACCTTAAGTAACTCTAAATAAACAAAAGTCGAAAATCCTCGTAAAATCCATAAGTGACATGTACATACATAGCCACTTTTCTTATCTCTAGTAATTCAACTATTAGAACTAAGTAGAAATGTGTTAATTCATAATGTCAAAACAATAAAAATAGGTAAAGAATAAAGTTACAGCCACGACAGTAAAATACATACGTCAGTGTTCAAAGTTACTCGTGCAGGTTTAAACGTTTTATTGGTCAAGTTAAGTAACCCGTCGAGAGACCGACTGGCTCAATCGAACTAGAGAGGAATAAATCAAGCTTTCGACTAAGAGCAGGTAGCGGGCGTCGTAACACATTCAGTAATGTAAAATCTACTCTAAGCTATTCGAACCAGTTACCTTGTACTATCAAAACGGTCTTCATCAGCAGGCCTACAATACTATGTAAAACCCGAAAGACAATAACTCAGTAGATTTTTTCGACCTTTTGCCAAATCAAACCATACATGTTTTTATCCTGACCTAATGAAAACTACAGGATTGAGATAAACAGAGATTAAGTTTGAGGTGAACAAAACTTAGTTTCTATACATTTAAAATTAAGCCGACTAGATACTTTCATTATGTACCGACGAACAAGCAGAACCGATCTATATAAATATTAGCGATGTACAAAATGAACTAGTTATCACACAAATATGGTTTTGTAAATTATACAAGAATATAAGTAAACATTTAGAGTTGGAAGGTATCGAATAACATGCTATCCAAGATTTAAATGAAACCAAAGAGAAAATACAACTGTATCACTTTAACCGATCTACAACAAAATGCTTTAAACCTATTGAAGAAACTCCGTGGATTTTAAGAATGAAATTTACGATCCTAGAAATAACTCATATCGAGAGACAAAACATTTTGGATGAATATAACATAACCAGTTTCAAATTGAGTAGTAAAATTTAAGAAATAATCAATTATACACTCGAGTATGATAAGGACTGTAACCGATATGAAGCAGTGTTGCCGTAATGAAAAGAAAATTTACTAATATCATGAGATTCTCAATAAGCTTTAGATATCACTACATGAAACTACCTTAAACTGTATGTTTATTTGGTTGACCAACCAATCCAACTTTGATATCAGTTCCTCTGAAACTTTTGTATTGTTAATAATTGGGGTTTTTAAGTATGGACTCAAACAATCAGTTTCATATATACTACGATGTGATTACATAATGCTAACATTCATACATATGTTGCAAGACAAACAAGTAACACTATTATTGCGTTCTGGAAGGATTCGAATACTTTAATTTATCATATTGTTAGTAGAGTTAAATGACCAAACCTCTTCTTGGTCATAGACATGTATACAATTTGATAGCTGGGAAAACTCATAAATCATCCACAGAAGTTCACAACAACTAACCTGTATCAGCATGACGTATAAGTTCACCACCGAATAAATCTAAAATACTAAGATTAGAATTACTGGTAGAAATGATTCTAGGTGATATTGATGAATTTTTAAATTGATGCATAATAGATAAAGGAAAGCTGGACATCTCCACAATAAGACGGCAAATTTGGGCAAAAAGATCTATACAACTGACTGAAGACGATGGTAATGACACTTGATGATTATGTTTCAATACAGATTTTTCATGAGATTTTTCTTTAGCACCTTCTTTGTCGAGTATATCTTCATTGTTATTATCATTATTATTATTCATTTTGTTTATTTCTCCTTCATTCGAAATGATACTACAATCATGTTCACATTGTTCCGTACAAATTTTTCGGATAAATTCATTCATCTTCATCGGGATTGATTTAAGCATGAATGGGAAAACAAAACGCAATAATGATAGATAAAAAGTAGTATCTATCAAATGCAAAAATAGTTTATATTCCAGAATAATAATAGTCAGAAAAAGTAAAACAACAATTAAAAACTAGGGAGCATTGTATGGTCGATTTAACTCATTTAAAGACTTCTTAGAAGAAGATATCACAATTGATTGATCACTGGGTGGTGATCAATGTCATGCTTGTCTAGTCCTTATTAGTGCAGATCGAATGTTATCGATTATGTTGCAATGTGGCAACCAGTCTAGGTGACTCGACACTGCGGGAACCATGTATTGAGATTTAGATGGTGGTTGGAGGTATTCAACAGGAAACCCTGGACTGGTGGCCACATTGCGACATGATCGATAGCATTCGATCTGCAGTAATAAGGACTAGACAAGCATGACATTGATCACCACCCAGTGATCAATCAGTTGTGATTACATCTCAGTCCTACAGGAGGTTAGTCACGGCTCGGATAGCTCAGTGGTAACGTCTCTGACTGTGAAGCTGGGTGACACGAGATCGAATCCGCCAGGGAGCACCAGTTCCTTCAAGATTACAGGTACACCTTGCTGACGAGTGTCAAGTAGCACGAAACCCGGGTCCAGGGTTTCCTGTTGACTACCTCCAACCACCATCTAGAAGAAGATATCTAATAAATCATATGGAATAAAACTAAGGAACCGTATTAAGCATATTAATTTTAATATAATAAATTAGAATAGAATGATATTCCTTAAAATTTCAATACAAATGAATACTAAAAACGATATGCAATATAAATGAACTATATTCCATTTAACTGACAATTCATACGTGATTTAATTCAATACAACGATTCCATGAAATCAAATGAAACCTTCCTTTCAAGATTTAATTTGGAAAATAGAACATTTAGATCAAAAGTTATAAAGGACTACGACATTAAATAGATTGAGAGGCATGCACCTAAATTAAAAAAACGCATTGGAATTGATCAACAGATCAGTCGTTAAGAAAAAAACGTTTGTCACCGAGACCAAAAAACACATTACACTGAGAAATGGAGACAGACATGTGGAAAATGAACAACAATTGGATAGAACTAGAAAGGAAGGTCCGGGACAGAGTGGGTTGGAGAATGGTGGTCGGTGGTTTATGCTCCATTGGGGGTAACAGGCGTAAGTAACCGAGACTAAAAGCAATATATAAATGGAAATCAAATGACAGATAGATTGTTGATGATCAGTCCGGACAAGTGTTGTGAACGAGAACACAGGTGGGGAAAACCAATGTATTTTGATATATAATTACAGAATGTCTAGGTAAAATATAAGAACCATAAATTGAATACTCCGTCATTTGTCCTTCACATCCTGTACGACTCTTCCTATACGCAATTCCGTTTTATTCTCTTCAACCTCATCTTTTTAGCCTTCTGCTTCCAGGTTTTCCACTTCCGATTAATGTTATATACCACTTATGTCTGTCGACACAAGGCGAAAGTGAAAATTCAAAATTTCCCGTTAACTGATTTTGGACTACTGACTCCACGAAAATAATGACTAAGATGAACCGACTAGTATAATAGCCACCGAAATCGTTGACCCAGAGACTACAGTTAACGTAATATATCTATTATATAACACCTGAATGATTGTCGAGAAATGCTATTATCAACAGGTCATTCGAAATACAGTAACGTGATTAACATAAATAACGTGAGATTAAACAATCAAACTGACGTTATGACTAGAATAATTAGAAAATTGAATTTTTATTTTCCGTATTTGAAATGATATTTATTTAAACACATAAACATTGGTACAAGGAGGCATGAAATACATAGGCACCACATAAATCATTCGACTTGTGTGAGAACTGAGATACTGCCCGGGTGCCCAAACTCAAGCAGGTGATTTTATCAGGAGACCACATCTGGAGCCTTCGACCTAAAAGTCTGGTCAGCAAGACAGTGGAACAACGTCATGACATGCAGTCTCTTCGTAGACGGTGACCAACAATAGGTTCATACTCCATTTGTTCCTCTAGGATCCTGGAGTCAATGTGCATCATTGCTTTAGAATCAGGGTTTTCCAACTTCCCTAGGTGGATTCTCCATATCCACCAACCCGGTTAAATCGCCAGACATTCGGTTTTCATCTCCTCAATTTCATAAAAAAACACCCTTGTCGCGAGACGTCTGTCAGTAGGACTTCCCTGGCAGTGGTTGTACGCACGTGGCTATGTGAGAGCATTTCGAGTGGAAGAGCTAACTTTTCTCACTCTCGGTCGTACCAGGGTATTTGGGGGCTGTCTGGGTGGAAATCATTACTACTCAACAAGGATGTCAACATATTAAACAAAAATAATGAAAATACAATTTTTAAAAATTAAACTAACTTTAACTGGTGAAAAATTTAAGACATGAATACAGAATATGCCAAGAAATCGTCGAAATTGACCAACTGCTTTAGCAATCATCATTAATTCCTCAGAAATTTGATTATCCTGACTATCAGCAATACCATCATTACTGTTGATCTCATTACATTGACCACAATTACTATTATTATTATTATTATTATTATTATTATTATTATTATTATTATTATTATTATTATTATTATTATTATTACTGTTATTTGATAATAATACTTCTTCTTGACGTTTAAAATTGACTGGACTCGATAACTGATCAAATATTGTCACTGCATACTGTCAATAATAAAAGTAAAAATGAACACAGCATGAGATTATTGAAATTAAAAACTATTAATTGATTACTTATAATTAATAATAATCAATGATATACTGTATGACAACTATGTAATATGTATACTAAAATATAGCAAAACTTTGCAGTGTAGTCTGTCGTATGAATTCCGGATGATGTTGACATTCTTCTCAGGTTGATTGATTGTTCAACGATGATCCGTAGTGTTACGATTTGGTCTTTGCACGACCGATCCTTACAGAATCCGACATTTTAATCTCAAAGCTGAACGTCATTATCCCTACATCCGATATTTGATGTTCATCTATGAGGCTTCCCAGGTACGTGAAAGATTACATGTATTCCAGAGCATAAAAATCAAGTGTGATTGTGTTAGTGTTCTGTGTGTTGTATTTGAGGATATTGCTCTTTCCCATGTGTATGTTGAGGCCTACTGATGCAGAGGCTTACATACTTAATTACGCTTGTTATTCCCAACGGAGCATAGGCCACCAACAAGCATTCTCCAACCCACTCTGTCCTAGGCCTTCCTTTCTATTTCTATCCAATTTTTGCTCATTATTCTCATATCTGTCTCCATTTCACGACGTAATGTGCTCTTTGGTTTTCCTCTCCTCTTTTGGCTTTCAGGATTCGATGTGATCGCTTGCCTTGTGACGCAATTATGCACTTTCCTTAATGTGTGACCTATCCAATTCTAGCACTTCTTCCTGATTTTTTCCTCCACTGCAATATGGTTTGTTTTCTCCCACAGTAAGTTGTTGCTAATAGTGTCCGGCCAACGGATCTGAATTATTTTGCGTAGACAACTGTTAATAAACACCTGAATCTTCTGGATGATGGCTTTCGAAGTTCTCCAGGTTTCCGCACCATAGAGTAGAACTGTCTTGACATTTGTCTTGAAAATCCTGACCTTGGTGTTGGTTGACAATTGTTTTGAGTTCCAGATGTTCTTCAGTTGTAAATACACTGCTCTTGCTTTGCCGATCGGCGCTTTCACATCTCCATCAGATCCACCGTGTTCATCAATGATGCTGCACAGATGCGTAAAGGTTTCTACGTCTTCCAAATCTTTTCCTTCAAGTGTGATTCGATTGTTGCATGCTGTTTTGTATCGGAGAATCTTGCCTTTCCATTTGTGTATATTGAGACCTACTGCTGCTGCTACACTGGTCGCCTTTTCCTGCATTTGTTGTCGCGTGTGCGATAGAAGAGCCAGATCATCTGCGAAATCTAGATCGTCCAGCTGCATTTCAGCTGTCCAATGTATCCCATGCTTCCCCTCAGATGTTGATGTCTTCATGATCCAGTCGATAACTAGGAGAAAGAGAAAGGGTGAGAGTAAGCAACCTTGCCTAACACCGGTATTTACCTCGAACCAGTCAGTCGATTGTCATCCATGAACGATTTTGAAGCTTAATCCATCATAGAAATTCTGTATGATATTGACTATATTCTCAGGTACGCCGTAGTGTCGGAAAAACTTCCATGTTGTCCTGTCCACACTACCAAATGCTTTCTCATAGTCAATGAAGTTGATGTAGAGTGATGAATTCAATTCAATTGATTGTTCCACAATGATCTGTAGTGTTGCGATTCGGTCTGTACACGATCGATCCTTACAGAATCCTTCCTGTTGGTCTCAAAGTTGGGCGTCTACAGTGTCCATCATTCTGTTTAACAATACCATGTGGAAGACTTTTCGAGGTAATGAGGAAGAATGATGCGTCTGTAGTTTTCTCACTTGCTGAGATCGCCCTTCTTGGGATTTTGGTCAGAAGTTCTTTTTTCCAGTCTGTTAGTACTTGTTCTTCATCCCAAATCTTGCTGAACAGAATGTGGAGTATGTCCTATTGATTGCCACTTCCTTTCTTGAATATTTTCCATGGTTTTAATAGAGATCTCTTCCTTATGATGACACTTCTTGCGACCCAGAACCTCCTGACACGTTGAAGTTAATACTTCTTTGATCCATTTCCAGTTATCCTCCATAGTAGTTTCTTTTTCTCTGAGTAGATCTTGTAAGGCTTGGAACCTTTTGTTGAGAACTATCTTGAACTCGATGAGTTTGTCAGTATCTTGATGGAAGGCTGTGTTGAACCTTTGTAATTCTGCTTCCGTAGTCGTCCAGTGCTTCTTTAGCTTCAATTTCATATTGGCAACCACCACGTGGTGATATGAAGCTATGTCAGCTCCTCTCCTGGTTCTCATATCTTCCATTTACCTTTTGAATTTTTTACTGATGCAAATATGATCGATCTAATTCTGTGTAGTGTGATGCGGTGAGACTCATGAACTTTGTGTATGCGTTTGTGTGGGAATATTGTGCCGTCCATAATCATTTTGTTGAATGCACATGAATTTGAGAATCTGTCACCATTTTCGTTCCTTTCTCTCAGTTCATGTCTTCCCATGATATCTTCGTATCCGGTGTTGTCCATTCTGACTTTGACCTTTAGATCTCCCATCAGTATGATGAGGTTTTTTATTGGACACTTCGCTATGATTGATTGCAGCCTTTCGTAGAACTGATCTTTATTGCCGTCGCTGCTACCACTGGTGGGCGTATAACATTGAATAATATTCATTGTGATTTCCCCCTTTGCTGGATCTATTTTGGATCCATGAGATTCCCACCAAATAAGCGTTTCATGTGCTTCTTTGAACAGCATCAGAGCAACTCGCTGAGTGCGTGGAGTATTTTCTTCTTCGTGACCAGAGTACAGCAGCATCTGTCCCGAATCTAATCTTTTCTGTCCAGCTCGGATTCAATGGGTTCCACTGATTTAGAGCACCGTCAAGTATCTACTCATTGCCGTAACTATTTGAATGGTACTCCTGGTCTCCCACATTGTTGGACATTCCATGTAACTATATTAATTATTCGTCTGGTTGTTAGAAAGGATATGGTCGTCACAACTTCCAAAGGATCTCGACTTTCATCATGAAGTATCACTAACTCTTCCTTCAACTCGTAAGGCAGAGTTTACATGATTTAATTTGTTTATTTTGGTTACCGTATTTTTAACAAGGTCGTTTTCTACGGGATGGGGTTGCCAACCCCATAGCCAATACTCCTCCTTTACCCTGTTTTGGGACCTGAAGCAACCATAGACGTGTCACAGGTAGAGTTCAGAATAAATTAATCGGAATGGAATACCAAACCGAAACCGCAAGCTACAGAATGTAGCGGTCTACTGAGAGAATCATAAAAAACGATAACTACCCAGACTTTAACTCCATACCAACCCTTTTGAATTACAGTCCCACCTTATTTTACATAAACAAACAACTGTTTGTAGCATCGATCAGAATGGAATATGGTAATGAATGTTTGTTAAACTTGGGTCGAAAATAGGTGATCAGCGAACAGAATGAAGATACGAATTATTATGTAAATAGTGGTGTGTTGTGATTAAATACTGACAACAATATTAAGATTAAGTAAGATCTGTTTACAATAATAAATATAATGGAATAACTAACATTAAATTAACAAACCTACCTCACGTATATGATGTACAATCGTATCTAAACAATTGATTATACTAGCCCATTCTGAAGATGTTAATTTATACTCTGAGAAACTACCTTCATGTGATAATAAAGATTGATCATGATAATGTAGTTTACAATTAACTCGAAGTTTTTCAACTAAACAGTTAGTTAAATGAATAATTAAATGTGGAAGATATAGACTACGAACATTAGGATACATATCAATTGGTAAACAATTCAAAAAGAAATTTATTATAGAACACCATTGAATTAATGATAATTTCAATGATGATTGTTGCCAATTATCACATTCAATTGATGATGACAATGATGATGATGATGATGATATAATCTTATTAGGATGTATATTCATTGATCCGATTGTATTGACTGTTATGGTTGATGATAAATTCAATAATTCAGTAAATTGATTTTCAATAAATTTCCATAAAAATTCACTACTTATATTACTGAAAAATAAATGTGATGTACGTAAGAATTCATCAACAACATTATTATTAGTAGTATTAGTAGTACTAATAGTTGTATGATTATTAGAATGTTGTATTGAAATCTTATTGATATTTGAATCATTTGAAGGTAATGAATCTTCTCTATCGACTAAAGTTGTTCCATTATATTCTAAATTTCTACCTTGATTATCAATTCCTGAAATAAACGAAAAGCATGAATATTTTTGTTAAAAGATGGATAGATAAAGTAACTACTCGATTTTAAACTGTATATTAATAGACGATGATGATGACGATGATTATAAGTTTTATTCCCAGTAAAGTATAGATGTATGAAGTCGGCTTTGAGTTATTATTTAATGCCATAGGAAAGGTATCTGGATTTGAAAACTAATGGTTAAGTTAAATTGAATTAAATGACAAACTTACATAAAAATATGGCATAACTGTTTTCGGACTGATTATTGATCACACTCAGTCAGCAACAATGTAGAACTTCGTACGTACATACGTTCATCAGTTCGAGTTGCCATATCACATTAGCACACAAATACAATTGTCGATTCAAATCTCGTAGTGGTAGAGGTAGTAAAAGTATAAGCAGTAAATATGTTATTCAAGGAGTATAATACAGTGAAATTAATTTGGAAGGAGAAAGAAAGGGACATGGAGAATTCAGATTAGAATTTGGGAGAACACAAAGAGTGGATGCACCTGCGCCATCGCAAACGATTTTGAGCCATGTCATTCAAGGTCTCTAACCATCGGTTGCTATCATTTCGCGGATACCAACCAGATAGTCTACACCTACTAACACGGCTCACTCAGTCAACTTGTCAGTGACTTCATGGATTTGTGCCACGTTTTGGTCTGACCGCTCCTAGCTTTCTTCCAACCTACTCCTACATTATAAAACATCGCACGTCGAGGTAGCCGGTGGTTGGGCATACGTAACACGTGTCCCAGCCATCTCATCTGATGATGTTTCACTACTTCATCAATTCATTCGCCATCCTTACCAAGTACACATTTCCTAACAACTGCATTACTTACTCGGTTGTCCCATGATATACGAGTAATGCTTCGAAGACATCTATGATCGAATACTAGTAGCCTACAAATATCCTCCACTCGTACCGGCCATGTTTCACTGCCATAAAGTAGGACGGAACGAACTGCTGCGCAGTAAACACGTCCTTTGGTTGATAAATGGATATCTCGCCTACGCCATAAATGACGCAAGTTGGCAAAAGTTAATCGAGCCTTCTGTATCAGTGCTGAGGTTTCGTCACACACCAGACAACAAGGGCTGATGAGATGATGACCACACTGTTAAAAGTACATTGTGATACTTTGATACATAGTGACTGGGTAAATTAGTGATTATAAAGAAGTACTAAACAACGATGATGCTACAACTCATTATAACATACTTATTGGCAATTGCTCGACCACAGCTGCTAGTCTTATATGGTGACTAGTGAAAGCCTAATCGAGTTATATTGGGCGGAACACATTTTTTGAGGCTCTACCATATCAAACAGGCTGGCTGTATATTGGCAAGAGTGAGATCAGCAAGCATAAGGTTCGAGGAAGAAGTTACACTGTCAACTGTAAGGGGAGGTGGTGGCACCTAACAACCTTTAATTCACTGGCACAAATTCCGTATATTGTCAGACAATTGAATCGACAATTGTATCTCTGTGCTAATGTGGTATGGCAACTTGAACTGATGTATGTACGTAGGAAGTTCTACGTTGTTGCTGAGTGAGTGACTGATCAGATTCCTGGGGTCCACAATTACGCTCCCATGCCGAGATGACTTCACTACTAATCTACCTTCTTTCCAAGTCCCTTAAGAAAAGACTTCCGTTAGCAGATTTTGTAATCGAGATTTATCAACCACCCTACATACAACTCCAACGGTCTTGCCACCTTAAATGGAGAAAAATATTTTTTTTAAACTTCAAGAATATATTAAACAAACAGATATATGAAGATTACAGATAGCAGGAAGAAAAAGAACTTACGTAAACTCGATGGTTTTGCACTATCGCGAATTAAAATATAATCTTTAATTAGATTTGTCATATTACTTGGTAATTGTTTATCACATAAACTTGGTCGATTTACTAAATCTGATATAGTTAATGTTGAATCACGATGTGATGATTTATTGATTTGGTTTGAATTCACCAAACAACATGTAGTTTGCCAACGTAATTTTAAATAACCTTCATAGGTATACCACATTATATCTAATAATAAATTATCTAAAAGTCCATGAGCTATATCTGGATGATCAGTTAGACCGACTAAAACACGAAATGGACGCTCGGAAATACTTCGTTCTGTAACTAGAAATAAATATTAATTGGTGATTAGGGGTAAATTGGTGAAAGAAATAAACAAATTGTTGGGATATTCAGGAAAATATCCCAGAAATTATCCTATTAAGCCTAATGCTATTCTTGGACTTGGACATGGTATTATTTTCTTATTGGTCAGTACTTATTCCACGTGTCATTTTCCTACTGGCCAATATTGTACAATGTTATTTTCTATTTTATGGTATGATGTGGTTTGTTTGACTGGTATATAAACAAAGTATGTTTGAAATATAATGATTCATATATCCGAGGCTGTGACTTTCGTTCTGGACTCAACTACTGGGCTAGATAGGGAAGCGGGACCAATCAGAACCCTAGGTCGTTCTACGTGTCTGCGCGTCTTTGGTCCGATCGATAAATCGCCCCCCTCTAATCAGCTGCCGTTCACAGTTATAACACAAATAAACGAGATTTTTCGAAGATTAATTTGATTTATAGTTATAAGTCACCTCAGAACAACCTCATCTGGGTTACCAGTAATGGTTAAGTGTTGTGTTTTTTTTGTAAGACATGAAGGTCCTGACTTTGATACCTCTTGGAGTAGTGGGTTCGCACTGTTGAGGGGTTCTATAACAGAACGAAACAGCTATCTAGTACTCCCTGGTTTTCCGGAGTAAACCAAATGAGATCAATTTCTGACGAACACTGCCTACAAAATATAGATTCATTAAAAAAAGTGGTTACTTAAGTGTAGTAGTAAACATAAATAGATTTATGATTATGGTGTTGTAGATTCTCATTCTGAGCAAAAAACTTTTATGCATAAATTCTAACTCCAATAGAAATTTAAACATGAGATACATGTAAAAAAATACGAGGTTGACATTTGAAAATTGAGGAATGAAACTTTTAATCTCCCAACCTTCTACTTTGATTTCGTCGATCTTCCATTGAATCATGAGTAATGAGATTATTTTACAATTTACATCACATGATTTCAATCATTGTTTCTAAACAATACTCCGTATCATTAGTTCACCATCACAAGTAGTTATATTAATCCAACTCTTGCTTTCAACCCTAGTTTTCTTCTATTGTATTAATCCATAGTATGAACTAGCAGATAACTGTGGCACATCCTATAAGTTTGGTATTGATCTGATAACTTATTACGAATATCATCCAAACGGTTAACATATGTAGCGGGAGGAATGCAATAGTACTGTGTTTCATACACGTGAGTGAGCATTGTTTATGAGCGTCCACAAGTTTGTCACAACTCTATATTGGAAGAAACATAACTTCTTGGTTTCGAACGATACAAAACATGTCTCAGCCTACAAACCAATAGTATTCCTAAGACTTTCGTATGAAGTGACATATCAAACTAAATAAAATCTATGCTGATTGTATTCCCTTTATGAACTTAATCTCTAATAGGAAGTAGTATTACATGAATTTCTCTGTTGTTGTTTTATCAAGATGTTGGTGATGTTAGATCTTCAGAACTCACTCGGTAAATACCTTAACTTTGTAGTTTTATTTTGAAAATTTGAACTTCTTTGTTTTCGCGCCAAAAGCACTCTTTTCACCTTCATGTTTTATTTCCCACTCGGGAGAATCTTAAAAGCTATTGGTCTGTTGTATCTTTAAGTATGTTATTTTGTAACGCTTCCCAGGGACAGTTTTATGCTGTATATATACATTTGATTTGTGCCTGTTGTTATCATTCGTGCTTATGGCTGCTTGCGGAATATATTTCTCCGTTCGAACTTCGACTTCTCTCTCTCTTTAGTTAACGGGGTTCGAGCGCATCAGAATAGCTAGCTTATTGGTCTTTGGTCAGAGTCTTTGTTCCGTTCGCAGACTAGGTGAACTCATAATCACTTCAAATATAGCACAAGAATAATTTCTTTCATGAAACATTTTTTTAAAAATCTGAATAAAAATTTACCTAATGCAGATAAATCTGATCCAAATGTGAATTTAGCAGAAAAATTCAAATGATTTTCATTGAATTGACATGGAATAGGTAAACAAGTAGGATTATAGATTAAACGACGTACAGCCTCTGTAAGAATTATTTGTGAGTATAATTTAAAATAACGTTGACTATTATTTTCATTTTTATCATTTAATGCCTAAATAATACCATAAGGAATGAAAACAAAAACAAACAGTTAAACTCATTTAATGGTTGTTTAATACACAAAACATAAATATCAAGCTTAAATTATACTTTTAGATATGACTTATTGTACAAATATTGAATTAATTGACATGCATAATACAGGAATTGTAAAAAAATCAATATAATAAATATTTATTGATAAACAGTAATGATAGTAACATGAAGAGACAACCACATCTGATATTACTTCCTGACCGCAGCCGCTAATTTGACGTGGTGGTCGACTCGCTCAACCGAGTACTATTGGCTAGAACACATGTTCCTTTAAGTTCTGCCATGCCAGCCAAGTCGGTTGGAGAACGTTAAAGCTAAAAGCAGCAACCTAACGCTATAGAGCGAGGGCTGATTACTGACCGCACAGAGGTGTGACAACAGTAATATTCGAACTTTGAGTGAGATAGGGAAATAGGTTTCTTTAGCTACGATTCTCGAATCTTGTCATCGATGTATGTTGCGTCTCCGAAACGCGCGTACAGGACCCAAGTAGAGTCATTCATTTTACCTAACCACGTCAAAATAAAAAACACGATTTATGTTCCAAATATCTGGGGACCCCACGGCTACTTCCTGTGGCATATCTGATGTAGGTATAGCATTAAATTCAAAAGCAGAACAGGTTTTTTCAGACTAGATTCCAGTAGGTAGTTACTTATGCGCCGTTCGACTAAACGGGATAGTGATAACTCAAAAAGATAGAGACACACGCCGTTTTCTCTGCATATTCGCCCACTGAATGCAGCTCCGATGAAATTAAAGATGAATTTTACAAGAAGCTATCCAACCTCCATTAAAAAGCTAAACGTTTCGATGTAGTAATAGTGGCGGATGATTTTATTGATTAATTAGGTAGACTAAAGCAAACCGAAAGGTACTGACGGATGCTGCGTTGTTGCAGCTCAGCAGACAGATAATGATGACCGTCTGCTGCAACTATGCTTAAATAAACGTCCATTTCCATAAAAGGATCAACTTTAAATGTGGGGAGAAACATCATCTGACGTGATGACTCCCACAATCGACTCATCGATGGACTCAATTAAACCAAATTGCCACCATTCATCGTTGGAGAGGCTCGGTAGAAGACTGCTGGTCATTCTGAGGTACATGTTGATGCTCGGATTATACCATAGTTCCAGCACGCATTAATCCGCAACTTACTGGACGTAGAAAAGCTACAGCAAGAAGACCCCTCAGAGTCCAACCTAATGATGAAAATTTTTTCGGAAGCAACAAGAAAATGTGCTAGTCAAACATGAAATGATATCCACCCCGAGGTAGCTTGGTATGATATATATATACCAGATTGCATATATATATATATATATATATATATATATATATATATATATATATATATACATAAATCTTTTATAAATAACTTACCAATACATGTTTATCATCTACTTTATCCATGACTATGTCTGCCCATGTCATTGATTGGTTATCTAAACTATCCACAACCATTCCCTCAACTGACTGACTACCTTTAAGCCAAATAAATAAACGACGATTCAAAGATGCATCACGACGTAGTAAAATAGACAACGAAGCTGTACATAACATAGCGAAATCTTTCACTGTTAGCGATTGGTTAGTGATAAACTGAAATGGATTACGCTCTGTTGTCGATGTTGTTTTCGAATAAAAATGTATTGGTAATGCTAACAGAATAAAATCAAGAGCATCACGTTGTACTAGTAGAACACTGTCACCGAATAGACAGCATAAACTCTCTACCTATAAAAAGATAAATTAGACAGTAAATATTTACACTGAATGGTTAGTATTATTAATATTATCAGTACGTTGAACAAATCTTTCATCTCAAGATATTTTATATTTTCTATCAGGGATATTTTATCTATTAATAAGTATTTATCTTATTCTATTTAAACGCATAAACATTGGTACAAGGAGGCATGAAATACATAGGCACCACATAAATCATTCGACTTCTGTGAGGGCTAAGATACTGCCCGGGTGCCCAAACTCAAGCAGGTGATTTTATCAGGAGACCACATCTGGAGCCTTCGACCTAAAAGTCTGGTCAGCAAGACAGTGGAACAACGTCATGACATGCAGTCTCTTCGTAGACGGTGACCAACAATAGGTTCATACTCCATTTGTTGCCCTAGGATCCTGGAGACCTTATGCATCAGTGTTTTAGAATCAGGATATTCCAAATTCTCTAGGTGGATTCTTCATATCCATTAACCCGGTTAAAGCCAGTGCCAGACATTCAGTTTTCGTCCTCTCGACTTCATAAAAAAAACACCCTTGCCGCAAGAAGGCAGTGAGTGGGACTTCCAGGGCAGTGGTTGTATGTACGTGGCTGTGAGAGCATTTCGTATTAATAAGTAGGTGTTCTTTAATGAACATTAAAACATTTGAAAAACATGCATATTTTAAACTTTTGACTTAGATAACGAAATACTAATGATCATTTTGGCATGGAAAAAATCATCTAAGAATTCAGTCTAGTGCATAAAATGTATACACCAAAAGACAATTATTCTCATTTAAATGCCAAGTTCAGTGGAGGCAAAATATAATAACTTGGAATCAAGTTCGTTAAGTAACGTATACTCAACAGATATAATTATATCAGAAGGGGTTTTGTGAATATTATAGTAATTTTAATAATTGAGATCATGAATCTTATTTATTTATTTATTTATTTCAACACATAGATAATGGTACAAAGAGGCACCAAATACATATGCGCCACACAAATCTCATTCGATATGTGTGAGGGCTGTGATACTGCCCGGGTGCCCAAACCGAAACAGGTGGTTTTCTTAGGGGGCCACACCCCGAGCCTTCGACCTGAAGGTCTGATCCACAAGGCAGTGGAGCATCGTAAGGAGATGCAGTCCCATGGAAGCCGGTGACCAACAATTGGTTCATTCGCCATTTGTTCCCGCAGGATACTGGGGCCCATGTGCATCATTGGTTTGGAATCCGGTTAAAGCGCCGGACATTCGCTTTTCGTCCTCTCGTTTTCGTAAACAACACCCTCGCCATGAGAAGGCAGTGAGTAGGACTTCCCTGGCAGAGGCTGTATACGCGTGGTCGTGTGAGAGTATTTCGAGAGGGAGAGCGGACTCTCCCCACTCTCGGCCGTACCAGGGCATTTGGGGGCACTAGACGGTCATTTCGTCCTATTGTGGGACTCATCAACAGTGCCCATCCACGATCCCAACTCGCGAGATTCGAACCCAGGATCTATAGGTGTCATGTGCGAACGCTTAACCTCTAGACCACTAAGTCGGCATTCTTATAACTGTCAAATTTAAAACTAGAAATAATCAGTAAACCTTTTAAAGTAATAGATGGAAATTATTTATTTCCTATTGATAATGAAAAATTAAAATTATTATGAAATTCGTACTGATGATGTCTTTCAGAAGAATGATGAAAGCTCCATGACCAAACCCATTTAGCTTAGAGAATAATACTCCATCAAAACCTACCTACATACAAGCATAAAACTAGCAAAACAACAAATAAATAATTAGAAAATTTTGTTTAACTTACAAGAATATTTTTATCTAAACCATAAATATAACTTTGACTATCTAATGATTTACGTTTGTTTAAATGATTGAGTATAAATGAAATTCCATATTGTCGTATAGATGGACATCGAATTAGAAGCTTTAAAGGGAAAAAAATAAAACTGGATTACAGAGGGAGGTATACTGGAATAAAAATATTGGTGATTTGACCAACTGAGAACATTGATTAACTCTTCAGAATAATCACATGTTACTTACTTACGCCTGTTACTCCTCGTGAAGGAACATAAGCCGCTCACCAGCATTCGCCATCCAACCCTGTTCTGGGCAATCCTTCCCAGCTCTTTCCAGTTCCTAGTGATCCTTTTTATATCGGCTTCTATTTCCCAACTTAATGTGTTGTTTGACCTTCCTCTTTTCCGCTTCCCTTCAGGATTCCAAGTTAGGGCTTGTCTTGTGATGCAATGTGACGATTTGTATAGTGTATGTTCTATCCATTTCCATCGTCTTTTCCGAATTTCCTCTTCAACTGGAAGCTGGTTTGTTCCCTACCACAGAAGGCTGTTGCTCATGGTATCCGACCAATGGATGTTGAGTATCTTGCGTAGACATCTATGTATAAATACTTGTACATTCTTGATGATGGTTGTTTTAGTTCTCCAAGTTTCAGCTCCGTACAGTAGAACTGCCTTGACGTTCGTATTGAAGATTCTCACTTTTATATTGGTTGAAATTTGTTTTGAGTTCCATATATTCTTCAATTATATGAATGGATTAATTCTTGTTCAATAGAAAATTCGTAAATAGCTCTAGTAAACCAACGGGTCAAGTGTTGTATACCTAACTGGATAATTAACAATGTTGTTACTAATTTTAGTATATTTCAAGAAGCTTTTATAAAATCAATTTTGTAGTTAAACCTTTAAATATCCTTTTTTCCTGTAACTATATTAGCCATGAGATTAAAGCCAATTTTGACACTTCCCACATTTCACAATGTCTATTTTTATGTTCTGACTGAATTCCGTCAACTGAACAACAAATATGTAGTAGGTAGAACTCAATTACAACCAATGGTGAAGGAAAAAAGATACTGCTTTCTATTCAAAGCTTTAGATGGTGGTTGGAGGTAGTCAACAGGAAACCCTGGACCCGGGGTTTCGTGCTACTTGGCACTCGTCAGTAAGGTGTACCTGTAATCTTGAGGGAACTGGGGCTCCCTGGCGGATTCGATCTCGTGTCACCCAGCTTCACAGTCAGAGACGTCATCACTGAGCTATCCGAGTCGTGACTAACCTCCTGTAGGACTGAGATGTAATTACAATTGATTGATCACTGGGTGGTGATCAATGTCTTGCTTGTCTAGTCCTTATTAGTGCAGATCGAATGCTATCGATCATGTTGCAATGTGGCCACCAGTCTAGGTCGATAGCATTCGATCTGCACTAATAAGGACTAGACAAGCATGACATTGATCACCACCCAGTGATCAATCAGTTGTGATTACATCTCAGTCCTACAGGAGGTTAGTCACGGCTCGGATAGCTCAGTGGTAACGTCTCTGACTGTGAAGCTGGGTGACACGAGATCGAGTCCGCCAGGGAGCACCAGTTCCTTCAAGATTACAGGTACACCTTGCTGACGAGTGTCAAGTAGCACGAAACCCGGGTCCAGGGTTTCCTGTTGACTACCTCCAACCACCATCTAAATCTCAATACATAGTGCCCGCAGTGTCGAGTCACCTAGACTGGTGGCCACATTGCAACATGATCGATAGCATTCGATCTGCACTAATAAGGACTAGACAAACAAGACATTGATCACCACCCAGTGATCAATCAATTGTAATTCTATTCAAAGCGTTTGCTTTATCAAAATTCTGATGAAAGTCAGTGACAACTAGAATATTATAATGATGGCCAATTGACAACTTTCAATAATCTAGTACAAAACAAACTACATGAATCTTGAACTGTCACAATGATATATTCAAAGTGACAATCTCTGCAGCAAAAGGCTTCCCAGTTATTCTGATATACCGTGGAGTAGGGATAGTCAATCCTCATTCATGAAATGCTCCCATAAGACAGCGCGTCTATAGCCTTATTCCACGGATGTATAGCAGTACACAGCACGGTACTATATTAATACAACAATCAGTGCATTAGAATGAATAATAATAGTAATAAAATGAAGATAATTTAGTGTATAAGAGGATAATAATAATAGTGGGAGAAGCAGTTAAGAAAAATACAATTAGAAAGCATTCTTTTAGTTATAGAAGTTCCTTTCACTTAAATGAGGAAATTAAAGGACATTTATAGCACGTTTGCCATTGTCTTCTATATTGGACCATGTCTGATAACGTCTCAAGCCACTGTGCGTAATTATCTACACGACTCCAACTAGGACCAACAGAAGCCATTCATATACAGCTTTCTTTCATAACACGACATGTCATAAACTGATCAACTCTACTTTTTCAAACTAGTCCCAGAGTCAGCAAACAATGGAACGTGGAACTCGCTGTGACGACATCCTTAGTAGACGTCCAAGCCACCAAAGTCGATGTTTCAAGATAGTGACACCAACTGAACACACATTGCTGAATCCCTGCATTACTAACATAGTGTTGCCAGTGGATGTCGGCAAACCTTCAGAGACAACAATGATCAAACACAAAGAGCCGTTTAACATCAACTCAAAAAGACCAGGTTTCACAAGCATAGATCAAAACTGCTCTCAGTGACACGCTGCAGCCGGAATAACATCATGAAGACGCCAAATATGACCCAAATCGGCATAAGCCGCCCTGGGTTTCGCTAGACGTGAATTGATCTCATCTCTCACGCAATCACCAGCATTTACGCAGCTACTGAGATACACGACATTTACTAATTTCCTATCTGCTTATTACAAAGAGTGAGTTCAGGTAAATGTTCCTTTCAATTTTGTAGAAGTACTTTGCACTTGTAAGGTGCGAAGCACATGTTAAACCTACAAACACAGATCACCAACTGATTAAGTGTGGATTGCATGACTTGAATAGAACAATGAAGAGAGGTGGTCGTATGCCTCACTCTACCTAAGGTATTTGTATATAGAACCTTCATGATGTTAATACGTTTATCAGGCACACCCTTCTTCAATAGACAATCCTAAAGAACAATCCTGTCCAATGAATCGAAGAAGGCACTAATGTCAAGAAACACTGCAATTGTTGGTCTGTAGTAAGTATAATAGTATTCTAACATTTGGCGGACGGTGAAGATATGATTAATACATTCTCGACCAGAACGAAAATCACCCTGCTCCTCGTGAGTCAATCCTTCCCAGATTTTGAACAATCTACGAAGTATGGTGGAAGCTAATAGTTTGGAAGCACTCGAAAGTAAGTTTACTCCATGGTAGTTATTGAGTAGGCAACGTAAACTATTTTTAAAGATAAAGACTGTTAAATCGTCCCAGGAAGTTGGAACACTCTATAATTCTCAAAACTTTGCAAACAACTCAGTTCAATAACCAGAAAGTCGCCACTGTCTTTAAAAAAGGTCAGAGGTAAGTCGTCTGATTAATGTCACCGGAGCAACAGAATAACTGAACTGTTTCTCAAAAAACTCTATCCACAGCACACGACGTCGGTAGATGTTATTGATTGGTGTTATATAATTTTCACATGTTGTTTCACTCACACAAGACTTCTAGCTGCCAGTCACTCGAATGAATTGGAAGAGGTTCAGACAGTTACTAGATGCAGCTGCTTCTTCCAAACGGTTAGCATGCTCAGACCACCAAGATTATCGGTCCTTACGCAAACTTCAGTTACAGTGTAGTGAAACAGAACACAAGTGAGGACAACCTATTATATTTAGCGCAAAATTCGAGTTACTTGATATAATAGAAAAACATTCCAATACTTTATTTACAAAATGTTCATTAATTGTTCCTAGATTTCTATACTAATTGCTTTCTGTTCGCATTCTTCCCTCCTCGATCTTCTTAACCTTCTGCTACCAAATATTCTATTCCTGACTAGCTCTATATACTACTTATGTCAACATAAGTAGCACACACTACAACATTATGTAGCAATCTACCTTGATTATCAAACTCGCGGTTACCCAGAGAGTTATAAGAGGCATCTAGAAAACCAGTGGGTATAAGCGCGACGTTTTACGAAGCCGTAAACGACTTTACTCGCCAATTTCATAGTCATGCTATTCCAACTAATGTTCATCTATACTTATTAGTGGGTAGATAGCTAGCCTTGAATCTAGCTCGGTTTGGCACTTAATTGCAACAGAAGCCGCAACTGATCCGTTTAGGAAGATGAATTTGTTGGCCACTAAAATACCTTTCGTCCTCTAAATTTCGCAAGCAACAAACCCGCCGCGAGAAGGCAATGAGTAAGACTTCATTTTAATTAGGATGAAATTTAGAAATATGTAGTGCGATATGTCATCTCATACAAGCAAAAAGTCATATTACCTCCCACAAACACGTATAAAAGAACGCAGATCCCACAGAGGAACTGAACATTTCTAACATTCGATTTCCACGTTCAGAGAATTCCGCGCCTGGTTCCAAACCCGGTAGCAAGCCCTGGAAAAACAATATCAAAATTACAGCGGTTAATAACATACCTATACGTTATGGCCCTAATACTCAAATCAAAAGTACACTAAGAAGGTAAACACATACAATGAACATAGCCGGCTTTATTCTCAGACCAACTAGATGAACAAACAATCATTAAAAAAACAGAATGAGTATCACTTACACTAAATTTTTTGGGTAAAAAAGTTTAGTAATTAATTATCGTTGTCTGTGAAATGATATGTGTTGGAAATATCAAAGTTAGGAGTGCTATCATATCATAATTTTGTTAGATGTCATCACGTCAGTAGGATCTGTCATTCATTAAGCTGTTATCGAAACAGGTTAGTCACCAACACTTTCATATACACCTAAAATACCAGAATCGTTAACCTCCGTTTTCCGACTACATTCACCACGTTTTATGTCAATCGACTTTACTGATTTCGATTTTACTTTACCGTTAATAGTTCTACTAACATTTCAGTTTACTATGTGATTCTTTATTTTCGAAAACATGATGACCCTGGTGTTGTCGATTATTTGGTACACTTGACTGTGCGACTCTATCTCTAAACCTGTGACTCGCAATTCGATACTTAAAACCGCTCAAACCCTAACTTTTAATCAACCTACCTGACATGATAGGAACCTAAGTAACATTCACTTCAGATAATTTAAGTTAGTCGGATAATGACGTCGACCAAGCCTCAAAGATGTGTTAGGATAGTGACTAAGGTAGAGATATTGCGACTAAATTTCGGCTACATAAAGTTAGTTTTAACCAAGCAAAATTTATTTTAATTCACAAACACAGTGTATCAATCGAAGATTGAAGAAATGATAACATCGGGAGCCATTTTACAGATTATCATTATATATATTCTTATAGTATAGTTACTAAATAGCTGGATTACTAAATCTCTAAACTTCATTTAGTGTAAGCTTTCGTTTAACGTATTAATTATTACTATACAGGTTACTATACCTAATTTACTACCAATCAATTATTTACAGCCTAACCTATTTACAACGACGTTTGGATTGTTTCTGTACGATAGTAATTTTTTAATTAGTGGTGTGATGTGGCTCAGCATGTTTGTGTGCTTGAAATATAACACAACAGAAGCTGTCATTCAAGGTAGAGTGTAAGAGCTTACGGGGAGCAGATCGATAGGAGTTCAGCTTGCACTGGACTGAGGTTATTGTGTAGATCAAATAGTCGACACGAGATAGAAAAAATTATAATCACAAATCTGATTGGTGAATTGAACACGTGATATCGATTAACGTCTCAAGTCACAACCATAAATACTGCTAAAAATAGTAACAAGTGATTATTTCATCGCACCGTAGACAAGTAACTGAAGAGCAGTTAAGCTTATGAAAACTACTTGATGACTGACTTTATAAGTTTGCGCAAAAAGAATTTAATAGCCAAACTCTGTCCCATAACAAATGGTCGTGGTGATGTATAATGGAAAATCTGTTTAAAATTTGACAACTGTTTTTGGTTATGTTCACAAAGACATGATGTCAAGCAATGAAAGTCGTAAGTAGTGAATATAAAGCTAAATACTAAATTATGTATTTAGACGAGGACTTGAATAAAAAGCATATGTATTTACACTACAAAACATGTGAAACGTATATAAAACACAAGAACACCATACATATGATAATGACTGTTGGCAATACTTTATTTAGTTATGCAAGATGATATTAATACCGATGAATCGAAATGAATAGTCATCTGATTGAGAATAAATGACTTAGACTTATGAAACATATCTACTCATATGTAGTGCATGAAAGCGGGTGGAAAATGCACTGTTGTAGGACTATCAAGAATATTGTACTATTTAGAAGGCTTAAAATCAAACCAAGCAGTTATATTGAACAAAGCTAAAACAACAATGGAACCATTTCTATTGACATTAATTAGAATGAGGAAAAAAGAACAAACCATTGTACCTTTAATAGTCCTAAAAATGATGGATGAAGCAATTTCCCAAGAGGAAGCAAGTGTTCTTCATAAATATCAAACAGCGGTGACTTAACCGTCATAGCAGATGGCTCGAGTAGAGCAAACAAGCCTGGACCATAAACATACAAATCATAGGCGACACGTTCAGGTCCAATAGTGCGGAAAATTACGTCGTAACATTCTAACGCTTTGCAATGAACACCAGCCGGTAGAGCAGGATGAAGACATTGGGCGAGACGTTTACCAATAACAAAACTTCGAGGAACATAACCACATTTTGTATTTGACTGAATAACCTACAATTCATTTTTAAAATAAAATCGAAATATATGAGTGTTGAAAGTAAACTGGATGGGCAATAGTAATTAATAATATTGCTAGTTAGTTTGTCGCAATTTTTTATTTATATACTACATACATTTAAAATATGTAGATAATTTTAATACCCAGAGATTGAAGTACATCATATGTATAGAAAAAAACTGCGAAGCAAAAAGCTAATCAACAGGAAATTCTCAGTGTAAAGAGGAAGTTGGTGGTGCATGTTTACTGAAACATGTGGTAGCATTGAAAACATATCATTACACCAAACGTTATTTTTAACAACAATCAGAAGGAAAACAAAACAGAATGGTAAAAACCAGAAAGGGATAAGTATCACCAAACGAACGAATGAGAAATGGTTAGTTTAGACAGAAAGCACTATACAAAAATTCAAATTGGTTTGTAAGACTGTTAATTTTCATCGGCTGTGGTTGAAACATGTATTAAGCATCATCAACTAGACCCTAAATTGATGCAAAAGGTTGGCTAGAGTATGAATAGGTTAAAAGGAAACCCAAGCCATCCAAATCAAGATATAACATCAGTCCATGAAATCAATGGCCGTTGATTTGAGCCATGTTGGTACGTGCGAATTACCTAGTCGTGGGCCCTTCTCCAAAGCTTCATTAATTCGTACTTTTACCCAGAAAATTCATCCTCACTTTTTGAAATAAACTTTCCAATACTTGATTTTCTTCACTACCAATGATAACATCATCTGTAGGGTTACTGCCGGTCCCGAAACCGGGTAAAGGAGGTTTGGGTCTACGAGAGGCTGCAATCAATCATAGCGAAGTGCCCAATAAAAGAGCTCAACCTCTTGATGGAAGATCTAAATGCCAAAATCGAACATGAGGATATCATGAGACGACATGGTCTGGGTGAGAGAAGCGAAAATGGGAATTTTCGAATTTATGTGAGTTCAACAAAATTATTATGGACGGCACAATATTCCCACACAAACGCATACACAAAGTTCATGAGTCTCACCACATCACACTACACAGAATTAGATCGATCATATTTGCATCAGTAAAAAATTCAAAAGGTAAATGGAAGATATGAGAACCAGGAGAGGAGCTGACATAGCTTCATATCACCACGTGGTGGTTGCCAATATGAAATTGAAGCTAAAGAAGCACTGGACGACTACGGAAGCAGAATTACAAAGGTTCAACACAGCCTTCCATCAAGATACTGACAAACTCATCGAGTTCAAGATAGTTCTCAACAAAAGGTTCCAAGCCTTACAAGATCTACTCAGAGAAAAAGAAACTACTATGGAGGATAACTGGAAATGGATCAAAGAAGTATTAACTTCAACGTGTCAGGAGGTTCTGGGTTGCAAGAAGTGTCATCATAAGGAAGAGATCTCTATTAAAACCATGGAAAATATTCAAGAAAGGAAGTGGGAATCAATAGGACATACATTGTGTAAATCATCAAACTGCGCCATGAGGCAAGCCCTAACTTGGAATCATGAAGAGAAAAGGAAAAGAGGAAGGCCATAGAACACACTCCATCGAGAGTTGAAAGCAGACATCAAGTTGATGAATAGCAGCTGGGAAGGGTTGTCCCAGACAGGGTTGGATGGAAAGTGCTGATAAGCGGCCTATGCTCCTCTACGAGGGGTAACAGGCGTAAGTAGTAAGTATGTCAGTGATAAGCGTCGTACGATCTGGAACATGAGAGTCGGTTTAAGCCGCCACACCACGTCAGTACGACATGAAGTTATCAAGCCGAATGCCAGAGTAACAGGCGTGTTAACTGTTTAGTGGCAGCAGATAAGATTAGGTATAGAGGAAGTGATTCAAGAAAATATAAATTTTTGTAATGGTCCAAAATTCGACAAATGGAGGAAAACAAATAGTGAATATACTTTTGAAATTGTGGTTGATTCTTATCCTAGAAACCCGTCCCTATTCACTAGTCATGATAATTGCAGACACTGATCGAGTAACATATGTTTACTAAGATGCCTCAGCTCAACAGCCAACGACTTTATAAATCGATGTCACATTTTGGTTTGGTTTCTCCTATATTTTTTCTCAGCCTACTCTTACATTAACAAACATCGTGCGTTGAGGTAACACATGTGCCTACATGTCGGCCTTAACATATGAGCGCAATGGTAACTCGAACTGTTGTACGTACGTACGAAGTTTTACGTTACTGACTGACTAATGAGCACAACGTTTCAAAGGTACCTATGGCTAAATACCTACGACCTACAGATGTTGTATTTATAGCGGCTATATCTCACAACTGCGGAAGAGGTCAGAGCAAACTACTCATTAAATTCATCTGACTAACATGAGAACATCTCGCCCATGCCACGAGCGGGGCATATTGCTAAAAAAACAGAGACCGTGTACAGACCTTGTCAGGAACGAACCCACTAGAGTAGAATGCTTCTAAACTCCATGATATTTTTAAAAAATTCGCACGGAAATTATGGCCGAATATGACACAGCTGTTAATTCAGACCAAGGACCTTGAGCAAAATATACTCACTTTAATCAGCCGTCCTAGAGCAGATATAAGGTCAGCCCATTCCGTAGAGTATTCAAAACTTTTGAGGGACTTATCAACTTGTGCAATAAAGCTTTTGTATTTTGCATCTTTTGGTAGATCCAAATCATCCATATGACCTTCACATTCATTAAACGCGGAAAAATACAGTGTGAGTGTTTCGCATTCAGCCTTCAGTAGTAAGGGTAGGAAGTATATCAACCTATGGTTATCCTTGCATTTTGTAATACCATAAAAATCCAATCTAGCTCCGAACTCATTAGATTATCCTGTCATTTCTAGCCAGACTGTTACATAAACTATACTTGGAAGTTCATTTACTCACAGTATAAAAAATAAAGGACCTAGAACAGAGCCTTGGAGTGATCCGACAAGTAATGACCTACGGGATGAGCATTTGGGATTTATCCTTAATTTCTGTCTAGGATAGAAGAAGAAATCCCTGATCCACTTTAGGAGAGGTCTATAGCTTGGTGTAGGTGGTCTTATGAAGTCGATTGATAATTACACCCTTCCAGTCTGTAAGTGATTCATCTTAGCCAGGTGACATATTGAATATTGTAGTCATAGATACAATAATGTATTTTGCTTGTGTTTTAAGATTTTGAGGTGTATTTCAACAGGTTACGTTGATTGTTTCCAGTTTAAAGCGATAATTGGTTTAGCACGTCGTCTCGATTAAAGTCCACGGTGAACAGCCGATTTCGGAACCTTGCATTTTGGCGAAGCAACCACAAACTTGTATATGACTGTGAGATCACTTCACCCTAAGGGCGGAAGGAACCTTATTTAACTGACACCGTAATCATGTGTGAAAACCAAGATTAGGACCGACGAAGAATTTCGTGAGTCCTATCTAATGAGATTTCTTATGTTCTAGGATAAAACTATGGCGATTGTATTTTTCACCAACTTGCAGACAAATGATGTTTTTGATGACCCTAATTCTAAGTTTCTCCAATTTATAGACAGCGCATTGAATTTTTTACATGTTTGACTGAGATTTAAGTTTACTCAAGAAGAAGTCATCCACTATACATTCTGGACTGCGGCACATCAAAACTAGTTTTTTTCATTTAAACTGTCAGATCACTAGTTCACATGTCCCTGAGTTATATGTCACTCTCCAAACTGCTCGTATGGTTAGGGTCTTTTTATGTACAGGTTAATCTCACTACCCTTAAGGTCTAGTAGGTCAGCCCTACAAAGCAAAAAACCAAGCCAATGGACTCCACTGTTTTACCTTTCTGACGTTAAACATGCTTAACGATGATATCAGGGTTTTCTCTGTCCACAACGTTTTCAATCCCCACCATTTTAATGACTACCTGTGTCCAACTGTTTGCTTCTAGTACTTACTTACTTACTTGCTTATTTACGCATGTTACCCCCAATCAAGCAAAGGCCGCCAACAAGCATTCTTCAACTCATTCGGTCCTGGGCATTCCTTTCTAGTTCTATCCTATTTTTATACATTTTTCTCATTTCTTTCTCCATTTCTCGATGTAATGTGTTCTTTGGTCCTCCTCCATGTGAAGGCTTGCCTTGGGACAAAGTTGGGTGCTTTCCTCAATGTGTGCCCTATCCATTTCAAGCGCTTCCTCCTGATTTCTTCCTCCACTGCAATCTGGCTTGTTCCATCCCATAGTAAGTTGTTGCTAATAGTGTCCGGCCAACGGATCTGAAGTATTTTGCGTAGACAACCTTGAATAAACACCTGTATCTTCTGGATGATGGTTTTCGTAGTTCTCCAGGTTTCCGTCCCATAAAGTAGAACTATCTTGACATTTGTCTTGAAAATCCTGACCCTGGTTTTGGTTGACAATTGTTTTGAGTTCCAGATGTTCCTCAGTTGTAGATATGCTGCTTTTGCTTTTCCGATCGACGCCTTCACATCTGCATCAGATCCACTATGTTCATCAATGATGCTGCCCAGATATGTAAAGGTTTCTTACTTACTAACTTACTTACTTACGTCTGTTACTCCTCGTGAACGAACATAGGCCGCTCACCAGCACTCGCCATCCAACCCTGTTCTGGGCAATCCTTCCCAGCTCTTTCCAGTTCCTAGTGATCCTTTTTATATCGGCTTCTATTTCCCAACTTAATGTGTTGTTTGACCTTCCTCTTTTCCGCTTCCCTTCAGGATTCCAAGTTAGGGCTTGTCTTGTGATGCAATTTGACGATTTGTATAGTGTATGCTCTATCCATTTCCATCGTCTTTTCCGAATTTCCTCTTCAACTGGAAGCTGGTTTGTTCCCTACCACAGAAGGCTGTTGCTCATGGTATCCGACCAATGGATGTTGAGTATCTTGCGTAGACATCTATGTATAAATACTTGTACATTCTTGATGATGGTTGTTTTAGTTCTTCAAGTTTCAGCTCCGTACAGTAGAAATGTCTAGACGTCCACATTGAAGATTCTGACTTTAATATTTGCTAACAGTTTGTTTGAGTTCCATATATTCTTCAATTTTAGGAATACGACCATTTCTTTGCCAATCCTCGCATTCGCGTCTGCATCTGAACCTCCTTGTCCATCGATGATGCTTCCCAGGTATGTGGAGGGTTCAAAATCTTCCAGAGATTCGCCATCAAGTGTGATCGGGTTGGTGTTCTCCATGTTGTATTTGGGGACCTGGGTTTCCTACTTGTGTATGCTGAGGCCTACTGATGCAGAGACTGCTGCTACACTGGCTGTCTTGATCTGCATTTGTTCATGTGTTTTCGATAGGAGGGCTACGACATCTACGAAGTCCAAATCGTTTAATTGATTCTCAGCTGTCCATTGTATTCTGCGTTTTCCTTCAAACGTCGAGGTCCTCATAATCCAGTCGACCACCAGAAGAAAGAGGAAGGAGGAGAGTGAACAGCTTTGTCTGAATACGGTCCTCACTTGGAATGCATCTGTCAGCTGTCCAGGCATGCACGACCTTGCACTGTAGTCCGTCGTATGAGTTCCGGATAATGTTGACAATCTTCTCAGCAACTCCGTAGTGTCGAAGAACTTTCCATAACATTCTCCTATCTATACTGTCAAACGCCTTTTCATAATCGATGAAGTTGATGCATAGTGACGAGTTCCACTCGATTGATTGTTCCACGATGATCCGTAGTGTCGCGATTTGGTCTGTGCACGATCGATCCTTACGGAATCCAGCTTGCTGATCTCGAAGTTGTGCGTCTACTACATCTTTCATCCGGTTCAGCAACACTCTGTTAAAGACTTTTCCTGGTACTGACAGTAGTGTGATTCCTCTATAGTTTTCACATTTGCTCAGATCCCCTTTCTTTGGAATCTTGACGAGGTGTCCTTCTTTCCAGTCCATCGGCACTTGTTCCTCCTCCCAAATCTTTTTGAATAGAAGGCAAAGCATGTTTGTAGTTACTCCGATGTCTGACTTCAGTGCTTCAGCTGGTATGTTGTCTGGTCCTACTGCTTTCCCTCTCTTCATTTGTCTGATGGCCATTCTGATTTCTTCCGTCGTTGGTGGATTGACATCTATAGGAAGATCAGTGTGTGCTGCCTCGATTTCCGGTGGATTCGTTGGAGCCGGTCTATTCAGGATTTCCTCGAAGTATTCTACCCATCTGTTCCGCTGTTGTTGAATTTCAGTGATTGACCTGCCTTCTTTGTCTTTGACCGCTCTCTCTGGTTTACTATATTCCCCTGATAGTTTCTTCGTTGTATCGTGAGGCTGTTTCATATTTCCTTCTCTTGAAGCTTTTTCCGCCGTCTTTGCTAGTTCTTCCACGTATTTCTTCTTTTCGGCTCTAACGCTCCTCTTCACTTGCTTGTTTGCTTCTGTGTATTCAGCTTGTGCTTGGACTTTCTCTGCTCGTGTTCAGCTGCTGTTAATATCTGTCTTCTTGTTTTTTCTTTCTTTGATCTTGTCCAGTGTTTCTATAGAGATCAATTCCTTATGATGGTGCTTCTCTAGACCCAGAACATCTTGACGGTTTGAAGTCAGTGCTTCTTTGATACTTTTCCAGTTGTCCTTCATAGTAGTTTCTTCCTTCAGTACATTCTGTAAGGCTTGAAACCTGTTGTTGAGAGCTATCTTGAATTCGTTGAGTCTGTCAGTATCTCGAATGAAGGCTGTATTGAACCTTTGTATTGCTGTTTGTCCAGTTGTCCAGTTCTTTTTTAGCTTCAGTTTTAAATTGGCTACAACCAGGTGGTGAGCTGAAGCTATATCAGCTCCTCTCCTGGTTCTCACATCTTCCATTGTCCTTCGGAATTTTTTGTTGATGCAAATATGATCTATCTGGTTCACTGTGGTATGGTCCAGTGAGATCCATGTAGCTTTGTGTATACGTTTGTGTGGAAATATTGTGGCGTCTATGACAAATTTGTTGAATGCACACAGATTCGCAAATCTTTTCTCATTTTTGTTTCTCTCTCCCAGTTAATGTCGTCATAGCCAGTGGTGTCTATTCCAACTTTGGCATTTAGATCTCCCATCAGAATGGTGAGATCCTTTCTTGGGCACTTCTCCATGATTGATTGAAACCTATCGTAGAATTGATCTTTGTCGTCGTCACTGCTATCATTGTTGGGTGCATAACATTGGATAATATTCATTGTGATTCCCTCCTTCTTTGCTTTGAATGATGTTTTGATTATTCTGGGTCCGTGAGATTCCCATCCCACAAGTGCATTTCGTGCTACTTTGGACAGCATTAGTGCAAATCTCTGAGTGTGTGGAGCATCTTCTTCTTCGCGACCGGAGTATAGCAGCATTTCTCCCGTATGTAGCCTTTGTTGTCCAGCTTGGGTCCAATGGGTTTCGGTGATTCCCAGTACTACCAAGTTATATCTCCTCATTTCCGTTGCTATTTGACTAGTCTTCCCGGTTTCCCACATTGTTCGGGCGTTCCATGTACCTATAAAAATTTTTGCTCTGGTTGTTAGAAGGGGCATTGGCCTCGTGGCTTCCGAAGAAATTCGGGTTTCACCATGAAGCGTCATAATTCTTCTAAATGAAGACCTTCTAACTCCCAGGGCAGAGTTTAAATGGTTTGGATTATTTTTTCTGGTAAGCGTTTTTTAGCGAGTTAGTTTTCTACAGGATGGGGTCGATAACTCCATGCCCAACCCTCCTCTTTCACCCGGGCTTGGGACGGGCAGTAACTTTGGGAGAGCTACAGGC